GCAATGACAGATGCTGCTCACTGCGGCCACCTGTCTCTAGTTTGTTCGCCCCCAGGGTCCCAGGAGGAAAGCTCTCCGCCCGCCTCTCAAAGCTGTGCTAGTGTTAGCTGTTGTCCTCCAGCTTGGGCGGGCTGGGGGTGGGAGGGTGGTCACTGGAGCTCTTGGTTTCCTGCCTCTTCCAGTGGGAGAAGGAAGACCCTGTGTGCTGGGCTCCAGTGCAGCCACCCTGTTCTGACGGCCCATGTCACAGCCCAGCCCTGCTCCTCTGCCATCACCCATCCGCTTGCTGTGGCTAATGCTTCCTGTGAGTTGTACCCTGCGCCCTTCTCTCTCTTGCCTGTGCAAGCTGGTGTTGGCACTGGCTTGCACCACTGTGTCCAAGCTTCACCAAGTTGCTGAGGGTTGTCCGGTGAATTCACTCTATCAACCCACCTTTCATAGGAACTCTTCTCTTTAGAGGTATGGGTTGTATACAGTTAAAACGTTTAACTCTTATTACAGCTTAATACAGTTAAGAATATAAGGCATCACCCAGACCAAGCTATAGAACCTCCCATCCCTCTGCAGGTCTCCCCTGCACCCCCTACTCAGTCGATCACCGGAGGAAAGTTCTATTCAGCTTTCCCAAGAGAGTGCTTCCCGTCCTCATGGCATTGTATTTCATCCCAACACAATCCCTGGTTTACAAGAAAATGAGCACACATGGGTTGGTCTTCCTAATCTCGTCCACTCTGAATACTCTCCTTTCCTGTAACTGAGAATGGACGAGGCCTGGGGGAGGGTGGGAGCAAGGGGCTCTCTCTCTAAACCCCTCTGGTCTTCTTGGTGAAAACACTGGACAGAAGTCCCAACGCTGTGGTATAGTGGCTAAAGCCGCTTGCTGCACCAGCATCCCATATGGACGCCCGTTTGAGTCCCAGCTGCTCCACTTCTGCTCCAGCTCCCTGCTAATGCTCTCGGCTCCTGGCTTCGGCCTGGCCCAGCCCCAGCCTGTGGCCAACTGGGGAGTGAACCAGCGGATGGAAGCTCTCTCTGTCTCTCCTTGTCTCTCTCTGTAACTCTGCTTTTCAAATAAACAAATCTTTAAAAAAAAAAAAAAAAACCACACACAGACAGAAGACATCTCCACAATGAACAGCCATAGCTCCCTGAAACCAAAGGACCACATTGTACATGTGACTTCTCAGGGTCAGGACAGTTGATGATCTTTCTTTAAATATTTATTTATTTATTTGAAAGGGGGAGGATGAAGGAGGAGACAGAGGTATCTTCCAATTGCTGTTTTACTCTGCAAATATCCACAATGTCTGACGCTGGGCCAGGTTGAAGCCAGGAGCTGGGAACTCCATCTGGGTCTCCCATGTGAGTAGCAAGGGGCCCTTATCTGCTGCCTCCCAGGGGGCACATTAGCAGGAAGCTGAAAATGGGAGTGGAGATGGGACTAGAACCATGAGATTCCGTATGGGATGTGGGGGTCCCAAGTAACAGCTTAACCATCCTGCCAAATGCCTACCCTTGAATGACATTCTGTTCTTGAAGTTTTATTTAATACAATTTTTGGCATGATAACGGGATAGTGGTGATGTTTTTAAAAGAACTGGCCTCTTTTGGACCAATGCTGGGAGTGGGTAGAGGCACAGACAACAAGGCTGGCCACTGAGTTGCTAAGTGCGGAAGCCTGGTGATGGGCTTAAGCTTTAAGTTCATTAAACTAGGTATTCAACTTTGAGTATTTCTGAAAATTTCAAGGAAAAAACAAAGTCAAGTTTTCTTTCTGACGAAAAGTTCCCACACACGTCCTCACGACTGTGCAAGGAGAGTGGTTTTAAAGACCTCAGAAGAGGGGTGACATCAGCAGTGACCATGCTGGGTGCCCAGGACTGCTGCACTGGGCCAGCTCCTGCTCTCAGCGCTTCCAGGGCTTCCCTGACACTGACAATGGGACCAAAGTCCCCGCTGTGGCTTCAGTCTGGGGTGTTCACCCCGGCACTCAGAGGCTGGTTTTCCCCAGCGGTCACCTCCTAAGTGATCACACGTATGTCCATTGTCACCATCGCTATGCAAACCCTTAGCTTCTTTTTCTTCATGCTACTCACCACTATCTGACACCATATTTGCATCGATTGTAGTTTGTCTGCCTCCCTAACAATAAGCTCCGTGAGGGCTTTTGTTCACTCCTGCAAGCTCAGCACACAGAACACAGCCTGCCGCACAGGCGCAGTTACCTGTAGAACACGCAGGCTGCTAATCTAAGCTACTCTTCAGGCTGCTTCTCCTGGGGGGCAGGAGGAGGAAAAACTCTCCTGACTTCTGTTCTTGAACTCACTGAAGAAAGCCGAACATCACCTTGGGAGCCGGCTACAGACCGACAGAGAAGGCAAAAGAATTAAATGAACCACACAGAGCAGAAGGTGGGCCTCAAGGAAAACCCTGAAGGGACAGCAACAGTCCCTTATTCCACAGTGGAAGGATCCTACATTATTGGAGCCAGGAACCCTGGATGGAAATGACTAGTCTGAGAGAACTACACTGCTGAACTTTGAGGATTACCCTCCTTAGAAGGTCGTCTCTGAGTTGCTTGAAAATCAGCTAGCATCATGAGGTCCCAGTGCCTTCCAGGCTCCTGAAAGAACTCAGCTGATCTGCCTGCTCTTAGTGCAAAATCATGTCCCAGTGTTCTTGTGTCAAGACCAAAAGCCCCAGTTTCTGCTTTGACTGAAACATTCAAGGGCTAGTGCTGCGGCATAGGTTATGCATTTGCCTGTGGCACCGGCATCCCATATGGGCGCCAGTTCAAGTCCCGGCTGCTCCACTTCCAATCCAGCTCCCTGCTGATGGCCTGGGAAAGCAGTGGAAGATGGCCCAAGTGCTTGGGCACCTGTATCCACATGAAGACCGGGAAGAAGCTCCTGGCTCCAGATTGGCTGAGCTCCAGCCATTGTGGCCATTTGGGGAGTGAACCAGCGGATGGAAAACCTCTCTCTGCCTCACAAGTAAATAAACAAATCCTAAAAAAAAAAAGGAAATGAAATATCCACCCCCTCATACCCCTCCCCCAAGAACTCTCTCTAAATTCTAAAGTCATTTAAGAAAGTAGATGGGAATAATTCATTATGGCGGTCTTCCAACCTTCAAATAAGCAAATGGCATGTCTTAGTAAGAATCAATCACTAAAATATTTCTTATTAATCATTACAATATTAATGTCGTTGAGGAGTCCTGTGTAAAATTCTATCCCACTCAGACAGATTTCAAGTGGGACTCCACTGAAAGGCAGCCTTGATTTCCCTTCCCAAGACTCATGGGGAGAACCGCTGGACTCGCCGGTCTACGTAAGCATGCTTAGAGCAGCGGAAGAGCAGGGACCTGCCTGACCAGAAACTCGACTCAAGCTGGGCACCTTAAGAGTCTGGGATTGTCCCTCAGGTGTCAAAAGGGTGACCTGGATGGCATCATTGCTGAGCCCCTGCCCTCCGTCCTAACATCCTGCCTCTCTAAGCCTCTACACTTGACACTGGAACGAAGAGCAAATGAAAGCGTTCTTCAAAAGCTGCTGTTCCCTCTCTAAATCACAGCCAGGCTCTAACCTGCAACAGCTGAGAATGAAGAACGCATTTTATCTAAGAGCAGGCTCGCTGCCGAGATGCGCACGAACGTCTGCTGGCTTAGACCGGGCCGCCCGCTTCAAATGTTTGCCATCGCAGATATTCAATACCTCCTGCTACCTAAGTCCAGTCTTTTAGTAAGTTCCTAACTTTCTCGACAAGACTCCTGAGAAAGTCCTTCCCAACCAACTACATCTGAGTTCAATCACACCTTGCAGGTCTTTATTTTTCTAAAAGATTTTATTTATTTATTTGAAAGGCAGAATTAGAGAGAGGCAGAGAGGTCTTCCATCCGCTGATTCACTCCCCAGATGGCCACAATGGCTGGAGTTGTGCTGATCCGAAGCCAGGAGCCTCCTATGGGTCTCACACACGGGTGCAGGGGCCCAAGGACTTGAGCCATCTTCTACTGTTTTCCCAGGCTACAGCAGAGCTGGATTGCAAGTGGGGCAGACAGGACTCAAACTGGCACCCATATGGGATGCCGGCACTGCAGGCAGCGGCTTCACCTGCTAGGCCACAGTGCCGGCCCCCTTGCAGTTCTTATTAAGGAATGGGCTGCTGCATTGGTTTGCCAGGGCTGCTTCAACAAAAATGCCACACTGGTTGGCTTAAACACTCATTTTGTTGCAGTTCTGGGACTAGGAAGTGTAAGATCAAGGTTGCTGGCAGGGATGGCGATCACCCTTAGTTCGTGGATGCCATCTTGTTCATGAGGCCTGCCCACTGTGCCTGCGTCCTCCTCTCCTCCGAAGGGCACCAGTCATGTTGGATAAGGGCCTCCCTTTAACCCAACCATGTCTTTGAAGGCCCTAAATACAACACATTCTGAAGGACCAGGGTTAGGACTGCAACACACAGAGTCGGGGGGGGACAAGATTCAGCCTGGCCGTTGCAGAGAATTTACAAGTCCTAATGGGGGCCTGTACCATGTGCTGTAGAACACAACTGATGTGTACACAGAATCAGTTTTCCAACCAGGCTCTGTCCTTGTTGCACTTCAGGATTCACTGGAACATTCTGGGGGCGTCTGCCTTGAGACAGTGGTTTCAAGTAGATGACTGTCAAGTCCAAGGGCCCTGGAAGTTCAAGTCAGCCATAAAAGGCAAGGTTCATCCCACCACTCAATTACCACTTTTTTGAGCAGCTAGCTGACACACTGGGAGGTGGGCCAGGCTATTATTCCATGACAGGCACTGCACGCTGCCCAGGCCACCAGCGTCTCAGACACACAGGACATCTCTTGGGGACTCAGTTCTACATCCTACCCCCGACTCAGTGAAGTCAGCTCTAGGCTTGGAAACCAGCATTTTTATAAGAACCCTCCTAGCCACCCACTCTGAGGGCTGTGGCTGCCAGCTGTGCCCACTCTTCAGCCCCAAAAGGTCATGCTCCTTTGCATTGCAAAACTGAGTATTATACTTTTATTTTACACACAGTGCAACCCAGCATTTGCAGAAAAACACTCTGCATCACACTCACGATTAATGTCACTGACAACCCGGAGAAGCATTCAGTTAAAAATCACATAAAAGAACCCCGGAGAAATCGCACTATGGGTTTTCTCCCAACAATAGATTGCTTCTTCATTAGTCACACCAGCCCCAGCAGATAGGAGAATGAAACGCACACCTGACAGTGCTTCATTCACAAGCAAAACGGAACTTAGGCTTTCAGGTGTCATGATTACCTCTGAATGGCAGGGAACTTAACATGTTAGGAGCCATCAAGAAGTCAACAAGAGGAAAGCCAAGAGATGATGGAAATTACTCTCTTTTCTGTAAAATTCAGTCTCATTACCCGTAGGAGCAAAGGCGCAAGACCAGGGACAGGCTCCGAGGCCCTGTTCCTGAGGGAAATGCAGGCAGTGAACTCAGGTCCCATCTCCATGGGCTTCACTTTAACTTGGTCCTCCAGTGTCACGGCGGCTACTTGGGAGGCTTGGCTGGAACCTTCATTCCCAAGAATCTCTCTTGGCTGAACCCAAGGGTAACACACTGTCCAAATGAGCTGTTCTCATGGTACGAAGGCCGTTCTGCAGGCTGCACAGGCATACGTTGGAGACAGAGCTTCCTTCTTGTTTCACAAGGGAACACCGGCCCGCAGCGGCACGCTGCCGCAGCTAGCTCTTCTTCCTGTGTGCCCGCATGTGTGCCGCAATCGAGCCGGCGATTTCTGCGTTCTTCTTGTTCTGGCCAAAATAATCTAGAAACTCACCATCTGGTCCAACCAAGTACATTATTATTGTGTGATCCACCTGCAAAGGGGCAGTGGCATGCGTGAGAAGACATTCACCGACAGAAGCTGCTTATGTTAATGAATAAATGCTGCAGGATAAGAGGACTTTACACGTATGCTTCAACAGGTCTGCAGTAGCTGTGACTTATGGGATGGGCCTAAGCATATCACAGCAAATCCAGCCAGCTGCACACTCTCTAAAATCGTTGGTGTTCCAGAAATCTGCACTGGCTACTGCTCACACCACTGGCAGGACTTGGAATTTCTCAGTGTAGTTCTTCACATACCCACCCATCCGAGGTCTGCAGGTCCCCATTAACACGATGCTTACGAAAAACCAGCAGTGAGTCTGGAAAGGCCCGCTGTTTCTAAGTAAGGTATCTCATGTGCCCCCTTAACCATGTTACACAGAGAGGTCATTTAGAACTGAAAGTGTTGGTAAACAAAGCTCCTTTCTTCAGTAAATTCTTGGGCATACTCCTTTGTGTTTTAGGAAGAACTGATTATCATTCACTACTGCCTAAATCCTGTTTACCATCTTTTATGAGAAGAAACTAGAAAACTAACCATTAGTTTAATTCTATGATCTGTTAGCACAATGTTTAGTCCTGATATTATCATCTCAAGCAGAATCAGAAGATATGTTCTTCCCTTAGGAAGTCTTCATTTGCTACCTCAAGCAATCCTATCAGAAATAAATCCCTGGGAACTCCTTGGAAGACCCAAATGCCACACCCCCAAGGAGGCATCTTCAACTCATCATCCATTTTCCTGGCAAGGTTCCTAAAACATTCTCAGCTCTAACTTAAGCTTAGATTACTCATCAATTTTTTTTAGACACTTCCACAAAATTCAATTTTAAGTGAGCAGCTTTGACACTTAAGAGTCCTTGGAATTTATTGCATGCTTGATCGCTCTTTGGCAAGACAGGAATGTGATCTCACATATCCAACTGCAGACACCCCCAAATATACCCCAGCACACATTAAATGTCTATGAGGTTGTTGTTTTTTATACACACACATTCATAAGTAGGTAGCAAATGGAAAGAGCCACTTGCTACCCACATAAGGAAAGAATGCACACCAAGAAAGCTCCAACAGCTGGTGGGCACATTTGTCAAGCAATTTACTGCAGGAGCAAGATGGCCTCTGTGCCTCTCCACACTGATACAGGAATCAGAATTAAACCCCGGTTCTCCTGCAAGTCTTACTCCATACCTTATACCTCTCTTCCTCCCATGTCTTCCTTTTTTCAGTTTATTCCTACTGATGATATATTTTCTTAACATCACTAAACTAATGGGTAAAAAAAGGCTTCTCATTACACATATTCCTTTTATTAACTGATTATCTTAAGTTGAAAGTCATTCCTTTTTTCCAAAGTATTTTCTAACTAATGCCTACATAATGATGTAATTTTACATATATCACGCAATACTAGTACAGACTTAGCTTTCAGTGGAATCCCAAATGTTTGGAATGCCCAGTTTACAAACATCATCACTCTGAAGACTCCATCCAAAAGCCAGAAGTTTACCTTCTGCTACTGTTATTTGATATGAAAAAAAACTCATTCCACTACTTCTCAGGGTTCACTTTTAAGGCACTTTCTCACTCCTTCAGGTCACTACATCTCAACCGAAGCTTCCCATACCATCTTAGGGATGGAAATCCGTGACCTCAAGAGACAGAAGTCCAACTAACGAGAAATCTAAGGAGCTGTACAGTGCCTCCCCCTGTTGGTTGATTTAACAAACATACAGCAATGAACTCATTGTTACCAAAAGGTCAAAATCTTTTAAGACCAGTATTTCTTAAAATGGGGTTTAGAATGTATTCTAGAGTGTTCAAGACGTCTCCATCAGACTTATGTTTGCATTTTAATCTGTAAAACTAAAAACATAGCATCTATATTCTGGATAATCTACAGTATGAGTACAAACGTGTGCTTGGTTTGTCCATGATTCCATTGGCACCCAGCTGCACACTACTGATTAGAGGCAGAAGCCTGAAAATAATGCACTACGGCTAAGCCCAGCAGTCAAGGCACAGGCTTCACACTACTGCAGAGAGAAAACAAGGGGGCAGCGCGCGGCGCACCTGGGCCCGTGCCAGCCTCCTGTTACAGCGAGCGCCACGCTGGTTTCAGCAAAGCCTCTCTGCGACTTGAACTGAGTGTTCTAAATTTGTGTTTCACAAGCTGTTTGGTTTCATTTGTAAAATTTCTGTTTGACTTTACAGAGTTTGAGCTCTATGCACAAGGCAAGTGTCACCTAGTTTAGGACTGTGGGGGGGGGTGTCTTCAAAAAGATCACGAAAAATGCCTATTACAAAAAAACTACGGGATTTTTGGAAATGTTTTGCACCAAAAATAAACATAACCTTAAAAATCCATTTTTGGAAATGTTTTGCACCAAAAATAAACATAACCTTAAAAATCCATTTTTCCATAAATATTTTAAAGTAGCCTCATAGATATTTAACAGTCAACTGCCTCATCTGCTTCTGCTGAGTTAAACTCAAAACCAGTTTCCACAGCTCTTTACAAAGACAGAAGTTGCACGCTTCTTCTCTCAGCTACCGCCCCACCCTACTCTCTCTCCCCGCAGGCTGCTACTGCAAGAGGCAGAACAGAGAGGTCCCTCTACCTCCCTTAAACTTGGAGCTTAAGAAAAATGCTCATTTCTCTTGTCTGAGTTCTAACTTCCCTAACCAGAGCCTGAAGGTATGACTGCTGTGTGGGCTTAAACAGGGACCAGCACCCACTCTGAATTCTGGCTTCAGGCTACAGAACTCACAATGAGCTCCAGGTTCGCAGGCCAGAGGGCAACCAAAGGGGCAGGAGAGACAAAGCCCCAGAAGGACATGACCCTCATACACTGCTCTCTTGGGGTGGGCCCCAGGAGCTGGCCCTCAGGGTCCTGACCATCATTCCCCCCAAAACTAGTTCTGCTGCTAAAAAGGCTCTTACGATTAACCACTCTGTCCAATCATTATTGCATAATAACAGAATATGACAACTAGGGGGAAAAATGCAGTAACATACATTGCTGATTCTTCTTGTGATAAGAAAAAGTCTACATCGAGAAAAAACTGGGTGGGTAGGGGTGGTGTCTATGCCACTGTTGGTGTTTCCCAAGAAACCACTAGTGAGAAACACAGCAACTCAGGCATGAGCCTAAGACTGCCGGGCAGCACCAAGTAGGGAGGAGGCAGCTCTTTATTACAAGAGCTACCCAAGTACAACTGGATGTCTCTACCTAATCACTAAATAGCATGTATCAATCAGCGAGCTGTACAAGGGATATAGCTAATATGCAAAGCAATGGAGAGTCTACCTTCTGATAGCTTTCATCTTTCTCTTGCTTTTCAGAATTCTCAATCAACCTAAAAATGCAGTTCCTGGGGCCTAAAACTCAAAAGATCATGTACCTTGCACTTCCTCATGGAAGGCAAGGGAGAACTAAAGTAAGTGTTGCCCACAAACGAAGGTTGCCTCTGTATTTCCCAGATCTGATTTTGTATTGCCCATAGTTTCCTGTGCCTCTAAAACAGAGAAACAGGCCATTAAATGAACTATGAGAACAGTGAATAAAAATTAACAAGTCATCTTCTGAACAATATGCTCCTACGATTCTTTCAAATATCCACATTCCGAGGGACTGACTGCAATCCCAGTGCTGCTTTCGTCTCTGAAGCCAATGGGTCATTTAAAGCCGCCCCAGGCAGCCGCCACGGGTTCGAGCTCAAGCCTTCACTTACGATGTAGTCCTCATCCTCGTCTCTGGGGCCTGGGCTGTAATACACTCGGTAGGCTCGGGCGACCTGATCGATCTCTTCTTTGGTGCCCGTCAAGCCGATCAGTTTGGGAGAAAATTCTGAATAAAAGTGAGACAGTCAGTAAAAAACCAGAAGCAAGCAAGACAATCATCCCTCCCCGAAAAAGTTGCAAAGCAGCCCTGCAGCTTCTGTCTTCTTGCGAGTCGGAAGCACTTCTTCGTGCTACAAAGGAAGAGAGAGCCGCAGGAGAAAAATGAAAATTCTTTGTTAATACTCCTAAAGCAATTTTTTATGCTTATCTGGTAAAGACTTGGAGGAAATAAATTCTAATTATTTAAGCCCATACTGGCAATTGATTTATTTTTTTAAAATACTCACATGAACTTTTGATATATACTGCATTTAAAAATATGATCATGAATTCAGAACTATAGTTTTTCATTGTGTCAAATGAGAAAAAAGTTTGTTTTACAATTAAACTCATAACTGATCAAAATGTCTGTATTTTATTTCCCAGCAAATAGCAATACAGGTATCAGGTTCTATCTTGACACCTGAAAGAGCTGGACAACAGATACTCACTAAAAGGGCGGCTGTAACAAAGTTTAGGGCCAAGGGTGAACCATCACAGCTGTTAAGCTTTTGGAATTTACATTAAGTAAGCAGGCAGAGTTACTTACGACAGCTGATCTCATCAGACTACCGAACTGATAACCCAGCTTTTAACAGAAGTTCTTTCTTCCAAAGACATAGAAGCCCTTGACTACTTCATCTGAACTGAGGAACTGGGGCAGGCGTTTGGCCCAGCAGCTGAGACGCTGCTTGGGAGACCTTGATCCCTCATCACAGTACCCGGTTTGAGTCCAGGCTCCACTTCTGTTCCAGCATTTTTGCTAACATGCACCTTGTGGGAAGACAATGGCTCAATAACTGGGTCCCTGCCACTCATGTGGGAGACGTGGATTGAGCTCCAGGCTCCTGACTTCAACCTGGCCCAGCCCTGGCTGTTGTGAACATTTGGGGAGTCAAACAGCAGATGGTGGGGTCGGTGCTGTGGCATAGTGGGTAAAGCTGCCGCCTGCAGTGCCGGCATCCCATATGGGCGCCAGTTCGAGTCCCCTCCACTTCTGATTCAGCTCTCTGCTGTGGCCTGGGAAAGCAGCAGCAGATGGCCCAAGCCCTTGGGCCCCTGCACCCACGTGGGGGACCCAGAAGAAGCTCCTGGCTCCTGGATACGGATCAGCACAGCTCTGGCAATTGTGGCCAACTGGGTAGTGAACCATCGGATGGAAGACCTCTCTGCCTCTTTCAAATAAATAATTAATTTAAAAAAGAAAAAAGGTCTCTGCTCCCTTTCAAATAAAATGAACAATGACAATAAAATTTTAAAACTGTTCAGGTTCTAAGTAGGAAGGGTGGCTTGTCTTTCCCACTCTATGAGGAAATGAACAGAGAATGAAACCTGAATTATCCGCACATTCACACTATCCTTTAAAATTCAACTGCAGAAGTTACAATAATTTTCTTTTCTTTTTTTTGACAGGCAGAGTGGACAGTGAGAGAGAGAGACAGAAAGGTCTTCCTTCTGTTGGTTCACCCCTCAATGGCCACTGCAGCCGGCGCGCTGGGGCTGGTGCACCATGCTGATCAGATGGCAGGAGCCAGGTGCTTCTCCTGGTCTCCCATGAAGGTGCAGGGCCCAAGCACTTGGGCCATCCTCCACTGCACTCCCGGGCCACAGCAGAGAGCTGGCCTGGAAGAGGAGCAACTGGACAGAACCAGCGCCCCGACTGGGACTAGAACCCGGGGTGCTGGCGCCCCAGGTGGAGGATTAGCCTATTGAGCCGCAGCGCTGGCCCACAATAATTTTCTAAATACCAACTTCATTTTTAAAACTCCCCCTTAAACACAGCTAGCAATGATTACATCATCTGTCACTGTACACATACACTGTGGAAGAAAACTGCCATCAGGTAAGTTCAGCAACTCAGATGTCTACTCACGTGGGGAATACTCTGGTTTGTTTAGTACATGATAAAAATAATGGCCAATAAAGCTCATGTAAACTGAAGACTGTGTATTACACAGTAAGTTCACACATATCTGGTTTTTATTGCTTTAGGAAGTAACTAGACTACTGCTTAAATTCCCAATAAACCTGCTTAAATACATGAAATAAAAATTAAATTTCAAAAAGAAAACAAACTTTTGTAACCTTGGACTAGGTAAAGGTTAATTTTTTTACACAGCAAATGAAAAGCACTACGTATGAAAGAACAAACTGATGGGCCGGCGCCGCGGCTCACTAGGCTAATCCTCCGCCTAGCGGCGCCGGCACACCGGGTTCTAGTCCCGGTCGGGGCGCCGGATTCTGTCCCGGTTGCCCCTCTTCCAGGCCAGCTCTCTGCTGTAGCCAGGGAGTGCAGTGGAGGATGGCCCAGGTGCTTGGGCCCTGAACCCCATGGGAGACCAGGATAAGCACCTGGCTCCTGGCTCCTGCCATCAGATCAGCGCGGTGCGCCGGGCGCGGCGGCCATTGGAGGGTGAACCAACGGCAAAGGAAGACCTTTCTCTCTGTCTCTCTCAAAAACAAAACAAAACAAAACAAAAAAACAAACAAAAAAAAAAAAAACAAAAAAAAAACTGATAAATCTGGACTTACAGGAAAACTGAAAATTGTTGATTTTTTATTCATTTATTTTATTTATCTGAGAGGCAGTAAGACAGAACAGAAAACTCACGAGCTGCCACCTGCTGGTCCACTCCTCAAACGCCCACAACACGCAGGGCAGGGCCACAGACCTCAGTCCAGGCCTCCCCTGGGGTGGCAGCCACCTAACCTCCTGAGCCATCACTGCCGCCTCTAGGGTGCTCATCAGCAGGACGGAAGCAGGACCAGAGTGGACACTTGAAACCAGGTGCTCTCATCTGGAACACGAGTGTTCCAAGTAGCATGTTTGTTTTTTAAAGACTTACTTATTTGAAAGTCAGAGTTAGAGAGAGAGGGAGAGGTCTTCCAGCCGTTGGTTTACTCCCCAATTGGCTGCAATGGCCGAAGCTATGCCAATCTGAAGCTAGGAGCCAGGAGCTTTTTCCAGGTCTCTCATGCGGGTGCAGGGGCCCAAGGACTTGGACCATCATTCACTGCTTTCCCAGGCCATAGGAGAGAGCTGGATTGGAAGCAGAGCAGCCGGGACTCGATCCGGTACCCATATGCGATGCTGGCACTGCGGGCAGCGGCTTTACCCCTACACCACAGCGCCAGCCCACCAAGCAGCATCTTAATTGCTAGGTCAGACTCTCTCCCAAAAGACTAGTCTTTGAAAGGCACCGTTGAGAGATGGAAATGACAAGCCACAAACTGGCATACAACATGTACAGATCCCACAAGGAGTCTTCAAAAAGTTCAAGGAAAATGCCCATATTTTAATTACACTGTCCATGTTCTTTTTGAAGGCCCCTCATAAACCTGATTTGTATCCAGAATATAAACTGAACACAGGAAAACAAAAATTTCCATAAAAAAAGGGCAAAGATGTGAAAACACACTTCACCAAAGCCATATGGAAAACAGAGCATGGAAAGATCCTTTAACTATAGGAAATGGAAAGATAAATTAACTGTCACTAGGGAAATGCATATTAAAACTACAATGAGATATCACTAAAATCTATTAGACTGTACAATTCCTAGACTGGAGATGAGGTGGGGAAACTGGAATTCTCACATCTGACAGCAGGAACACACCATATGATCCAGCCATTTCATACTATTTACTCAAGAAAAATGAAAACATACATTCTTACAAAAACTTATCTGTGAATATTCTTAACAGCTTTCTTTCTTTTTTTTTTTTAAAAGATGTATTTATTTATTTATCTGACAGGTAGAGTTACAGACAGTGAGAGGAAGAGACAGAGAGAAAGGTCTTCTTTCCATTGGTTCACCCCCTAAATGGCTGCCACAGCCAGAGCTACGCTGATCCGAAGCCAGGAGCCAGGTGCTTCTTCCTGGTCTCCCACACAGGTGCAGGCGCTCAAGCACTTGGGCCATCCTTCACTGCCTTCCTGGGCCACAGCAGAGAGCTGGACTGGAAGAGGAGCAACCGGGACTAGAACCCGGGGCCCATATGGGATTCCAGTGCCGCAGGCGGAGGATTAGCCAAGTGAGCCATGGCGCCGGCCCTTAACAGCTTTATTTCTAATAGCCAAAAATCAAGGACAATTCTAACGCCTATCAATGTATTACTACTTGGCAATAAAAATAACTGGAATAAGAAGTATGCTTAACTATGAATGAATCTCAAAACAATCAGGCTGAGTAAAAGAAGCCATTCAAAAAACAGAGTGCAAACCACGTAACTCCATTTACAAATCTGTAGGTTACAAAAACTATCCCATCCTGGAAAACAGTCCCACAGCTGTTGGGAGAGGGAAGGATTAACAAGGCATAGAGAACCTTTGCAGGTGATAAGGATGTTCATCTTCTTGAACATAGGGGTACAAACACACATCAAAATAACACACTGCACACTTCAAAATGTACACTTTAGGGACCAGTGTAGTGGTGTAGTGGGTGAAGCCGCTGCCTATGACACTGGCATCCCATGTAGGTGCCAGTTCTAGTCCTGGCTGCTCTACTACTGATCCACTTCTGACCCTGCTAATGCGCCTGGGAAAGCAGCAGAGGATGCCGAAGTCCTTGGATCCCTGCACCCATGTGGGAGATTCAGAAGAAGTTCCTCACTCCTGGCTCTGGTCTGGCCCAGCTCTGGCCATTGGGCTACCCGGGGAGTGAACCAGTGGATGGAAAATCTCTCTCTCTCTCTCAGTCTCTCTCTCTCTCTCTCAGTTGACTCTGCCTTTCAAATAATAAATCTGTTAAAAACAATAAAATATATAGATCTTCACAAATTTTTAAATAACTCCCAAGTTTTAGAGAATGGCACTTGAATGTGTCATATAATAAACACAAATATAAAACTGTTCATTAGTCCTTCGACTAGTAACTAAATCAATGTCCTCGTAATTAATATTAAAATTCCTAGTTTCTTAAGCATCTATGTTGGGAAAAAATTAGTTTAGAGAAATTAAGCAACTTGCCCAAATTCCCAGCTGAATTAGAAGCGAAGTATTCACCCTCGATTCTGTAATTCACATTCTTTCAAACTATCCGATAGGTTTAAACCTGAATGTGCAATTGTTTGACTTGAAATTCTTCCATTAAAAGCTAAATATTTTGGCCACAAATATTTCACTTATAAAACATCTATTGCACTGAAAATATGTTTATATTGAATTATTCATCTTTAATTTCCCTGTGTACTTACTCCCTGAATGTATGCTATCAAAATTTTATAAAGCAATGAATAGGGTAAGAGCTGGAATTAGAAGCCATGTTCACTGCTCCAACTTAAGGTTTTATTAGCTTAGCTGATACATGAAGGCTAAGTTCAAATCCTTCCTCTACAACAAAATAGGGGCCGATGTTCAGTCTGGTGGGTAAGACGCTGGTTAAGACATCCATGTTCCATATCACAGTGCCTGGGTTTGATTCCTGGAGCTCCTGGCTCCAGCTTCCTGCTACTGCTCACGCTGGAAAGAAGCAGGCTACAACTCAAGTCATTGGGTTGCTGCCACCCAGGTGGGAGTGCTAGACTGAGCTGCTATTGCTGCAGTCTGGGGAATGAACCAGCTCTTTCTCTGCTTCTCAAATAAATAAAAGAACAAACTACAAGATAAAAAGAATACCACACCAGAAATTGAGAAATCGGATTATTTACTGACTGGCCAGGCACAGCTCTGCGTATCTTTTTGTTCACCTATAAAACTGGTGACAAAACCATTTGTCCTATTTCACAAGGTAGTCTAAGATTCAAGTGAGTAGACATCTTAAAAAGTTTAAACACTGTATTATTAATAAAAAACTCACCTTTTACGTAATTTGCAATGGCTTCTTTTGTGTCCCTCTCTGGGTCAATGGTGATGAAGAGTGGAGTTAAGTTTGGCAGACTGGGAATATCATCTGGAAGAAAGCTCCAGTTAGTCAGCAGTCACAGTGCAGGAGACGAGACGGGCGATGGCAGGGGAGTGCTGCAAGCCCTTTGGTAAGGTGCTAAGTAACACAGACGTGAGTATGCTGGTGGAGAGCAAGGGGGAGGAACAGCCCCTGGGAGGAGTGGATGCATACATTACCTGTGGTGGAGGCAGAGAAACTCCCCATCACACACCTGCAGATGCACAGACGCTGGATCATGACAAGTGGTCACCCTGTCTTTCAATCCAAACCACTGCAGTTGTTTCTTTCCCCCATCTTATCTTAAGAGCAGGCACACTATAAACAGGGACTAAATGACCTGCCAGTTCATTTTAACAAAGCAGCACCCTTCCTTCCAATGGAGACTAATAAAACACCAAGAGTAGACCATTCCACAGTCTTACTCTCAGCTTCATAGCCACCAGGGAAAAGGCATGGGAAGGCTACAGCAAAGACAGGGTCACATTATGAAGCAGTTAAGGGACACCCCGGCCCTACTGTCTTTAACTGACCTAACATTTAGCATCGAAACTGACTTCGTGTGGTGGACAGGGTCACAGCAACAAACAAGCTGAATGCTAACATTCTGTGTTCCTACAGATCTATGTACAAATACCCCACTCCATGTAGCACAGGAATGTGAACAATGCAGTAACGTTAAGTGAACATAAGCTTGGTAGGTTAGTGAGGGCTTCCTTACCTATCTCATCCACGACTTGCATCATTTTTTCCAGTTCTTCTGGACAGATGTCAGGGCAATGAGTGAAACCAAAATAAATCAACACCCACTGGCCCAGGAAGTCCTTATCAGTTTTAGGCTCCCCAGTGTGAGTGACGAGGGAAAATGGTCCCCCAAGGAGAGGCTTTCCGATGCTTCGCTGCCGTTCCTTCTCCAGCTCTTAAAGGGACACCAAAAAAAAAAAAAAAAAAAAAGTGTCAATCTAAGCAGAGGTATTCAAACACCTGCTATCTGATCAGTAGTATACTAATAACCAGGGAAACACAACACATACACTCTTTAACCTTTCCAGAAAAAATAAGCCTAAGACAGCAAAACTAAATTAAATGCTAGTACATAGTAAGCATTGTAAGAACACAGTAAAATCGTTTCTTCCTCTTCCAGAACATCTCAGCCCTAAGCCATTAGGTGAAGCCATGCTGGGTGTGGGGAGGAGTCACAGGGCCCAGACACAAGCTGGGCACAGAGGTGGGGGTGGGGGTGCAGCGACCTGGCACAGGGAACCTGAGGCCGGGGGTGCCGGCTGTGTGGGGAGGGGGCTGCAGCGACCGGACCTTAACTGATGACATAAGCAGATACATAACAGACAACAGAATTACACTCAGAACTACAGAAGGGGAGAAAATGAGAATGAACCTTATGTACTGGGGAGGAGTCAGGAGTACCAGTGGGCTCATGGTTTTCATATAAAACTGCAGAAATGAAACAGAAACAGAAATACATGCCTCTGTTTCCTCATACTGTCCACCGGAAGGACTGGAAGCATACACAGACTGACAGCAATGAGCCTTGATCAACTTACCTAAACAGGACCCTCTGACTCAAAGGAAAGAGATTCCAAAGAGAAAGAGATTCTGTCAGGGCTGAGGCAAAGAAACTGGGAGATAAGCCTGGAACCTCAGGCAGCAGAAGGAAGAACTCAGACACTGAAACGTGTCAGAAGGGCACAGACACCTGCTCTGTGGGCACCCACTGGCTCCTTCAGGACAATTTGAGCAACAAAAGAAAGTGAATACTAAACCACAACTCACTGAATACATAGGAAACCATGAGTCCAAGCAGACATGATGGGGGACGGCATACACAAATAAGATACATATTTACAGGAGAGTTAAGCTTTCAGTGAAAGAAGTCTGGTAGACAACTTCCTGACCAAATAAACTGACATGATCAGTAACAGAACAGGACATTGAGAAACTAAGGGCCACCAGAGGAGGTGATTATGTTGGACAATGTACTTGTTTGTAGAAATACACAATGAACCATTTGATAATGAGGCATTATGCTAGCAAATATTATCAAATGAAAAAAAAACGCGAGGCCAGCTCTGTAGTACTGTAGGTGAAACTGCAGGCAGAGGATCAGCCCATTGAGCCGCGGCGGCGGCCTTAATTTCTGAGTTTTGATAACTGTGCCGTGGTCATGTAAGATGCTGACATTGGGGGAACTGTCTGAGGCAGCCATGCAACGCCTCTGTAAATGTAAAATGATTCCAAAAATAAACAATTTAAAAACAACAACAAAAAAGAAACGCCGATTCATAGCCGGGAAGGATTTTCTCCGGGGCTCCTGGACGCTGTCTACTCACTCTCCGTCTTTTCCTTCTTGAAGTACTTCATCCCGGCCAGCAAAGCTCCTCCAATAGCGAACGTGACTGCTAGAGACTTCCAGGAAACAGGCTACTGGGGCGGACATTGCAGAAACACAAATTCAGCCACGGGTCAATGTTCAGACATGCTAAATTGAACACAGTCATTTGTAATACACGGATGCATAAGCTATGATCTCGTTCAACGTGCAACAAAATATTTTCAGGTCCCTTCGGGATGAGAAAACGTTGAGTTTCTGTGGGTGCGGGCAGGTCTGGGGTCCCCACACGAAATACGTCAAAGCCACACATTTAACTTCCAGGGAAAAGTGGCCAAGTCAGTTTCTGTGCCCAGAGAAACTGCAGTACCAGGCAGGAGAGCGCCCCCCCCCCCCCCCCAAAAGCCTAAACGCCAAGCAGATCGGGGAGACGCGGTCGGAGGCTCCGGCACCCACGTCAAGCCTGCCGAGTAAGGGGACAACCTCGGGCCAGGCCCAGGACACCCGGAGGCGTCGATCCGGAGCCAAGGGAAGGCCGCCGCGACAGCCGCGACCAGCGTGGGGAAGGCCTCCCGCCGTGCACTCACCCCAGGCTGGGAGGGGCGCGCTGGGTCCTTCCGGCCCTTGGGCTCGGAACCCGATGGCCCCGGGGGTGGCGGCATGGCAGTGCTGAAGCCTGCGAGCCCCGAAGCCAGCCACACTGCCTCTTGCTGCCGCCGCACGACCCTCACGGTCCCTTCCGGCGGGTCCCACAGCGTCCGTCCTCGAGGCGGGAAACGCCATACTTGGCCCGCCTGAAGCCGCACAACCGTACGAGCTCCTAGAAACAGCCCCGCCATGAGCTTGGAGAACGCGCCTCCTTCGGCCCGCCCCCTAGCTTCCGGTGCCGGTTCCGCTTCCTCCGGAAGTTGGACGGGGCCGCTCTGGCCGCTCTGCTCGATGGTGACGCAGTCTCCGGCCAGGCTGGATAAATCCCAAGCGAAGGAACCGGCGTGTGGTAGGTGGTTCCTGGATGCTGGGAGGCGGGTCCCGCACGTCCCGAGTTGTTTCTGCGGGCCCCGGGAGGGCAGCGAAACCGCTGGGCCGGGGGGAGGGAGGCCGTGTCTGGGGTCACGGCCGCGCGGCTGTGTCCGGACAAGTGCTGGGGGGGCTTCACGCCCCAGCTGGAAACACGGCCTGGAGAGAGGCGGGTCTGTGCCCTCCTTGCCCGGTCACTCTTGTCACCCTCGTCCAGCCCGGCCTGGAGGCCGAGCTAGAGGAGCCGCAAGACGGCGAAGCCCTCGCGAGCCCCGAGGGAGCCGCGGACCCGTCATGGCGGCCAGGGCGCGTTGAGCGTGGCCGCGGTGCCCCGCGCTTGTCCGTGTCCTAGCTGCGCGGTGAAGTAGCCCGGGTGTGAAGCGCGCCGCGTCCCGCCCCGTCCCGTGTTCAGCTTTGCCCGCCGGGGCCCCAGTTTCTGGAAATGGCTCGCACGGACTCCCCTGCCCCGTTAGGAAGTTGTACGTTTGCCTGGGTGGCCTCCTTATCCGGGACTGTGTGTGTCTGTGTGTGTGTGTAAATAATAATAATAATAATAATAATAATAAGGGTATTATTACCTGGCTTCGTGACTCTGAGGTGCACTCCTGCTTGGCTTGTTTTTCCAGGCGTGGCTCCGGCCCCACTGATTGTTGGTAGGAGCATGAGACCGTGCGCCTGTTTGTTTTGACAGTGAGCTGGCCCCACAAGCCACGTGCGCCGCTGTCTAACCTAGTGACTTCGCAGTCCACCGATACTCCTGTTTTCTGATTCGCAGGTATTGAGCTGGAATTTTCTGAAATGTATGCTAGAAGTCGGAAGAATTCTTAAAAGTTTGCTGAATACATCAGATTGTTGTTTATCAAACTGATTTTTTTTTTTTTGTCTTGAAGTTGCTTGTGGTTAAGATTTCCACCCATCTCTTTTCCCAGGGAGTTTTTCCCTATGGTTGACCAAAAGATAATAAAACTACCTTGCTTATTCAGACAGAACGCAAAATCAGCATTCCTCTCTTCAACTGCTCAGCTGTAGGTCAATTGATCCAACACGTCTTATAAGTTAACATTTAATATTTCCAGTGGATCTATTAAATTTTATTTGCGGAAGTGATTTCTTTTTAAGATATATATGTATATATAAATGCTTATTTTAAAAAATATTTATTTGAAAGGCAGGGTTACATAGAGGCAGAATTAGAGAAGAGAGAGTGAGGTTTTCTACCCACTGGTTCACTTCCCAAATGGCCACAATGGCCGGAACTGCGCCGATCTGAAGCCAGGAGCCAGGAGCTTCTTCCAGGTCTCCCACGTGATTGCAGGGACCCAAGCACTTGGATCATCTTCTGCTGCTTTCTCAGGCCACAGCAGAGAGCTGGATCAGAATTGGAGCAGCCAGGACTCAAAATGGTGCCCATATAGGATGCTGGCACTGCAGGCAATGGCTTTCCTCTCTATGCCACAGTGCTGGCCCCAAAATGCTTATTTTTATATATGTGTTTGTGTGTGTATTTTAATTGGAGAGGCACAGAGGGAGAGAAAGCACGCTACTACCTGCAGGTTCATTCCTCAAATGCTGGCAATAGCCCGGGTTGGGCAGGGGCTCAAGGTGGGAGTCAGGAACTTAGCCGAGGTCGCCCTTGTGGGTGGCAGGAACCCAATCACTTCAGTTCTCAACACTGTTTCTCAGTCTGCATTGGCAAGAAACTGAAGCTGGGAATTGAACCCAGGTACTCTGATGTGGGTTGTGGGTGTCTTAACTGCTTGGCTAAACATTGGCTACCCTAAGGAATTTTTAAATAGATTTATCTGTAATTTGCTTATCAAAGCTTTTTAAAATTTTTTTATATTAAGCTCATAGTAATATTAAGTGAAATATTAGCCTCTAAAAACACTGAGTAGGTGTTTTGCAGCTTACCCAGTGTAAGCCTGTCCCTATTACTGCTACTGTTAAACCTCCAAAATCACCAAGTGAGTTTTCTTTTTTTCCATTATAGAGCCTTTTCCTGGAGAGCGATGGGACGTGTTACCTGTTCTGTCAGTAGTGACAGGGCTGATGAATGTTGTGTCTGACATGGCTTTAGGCTGGTTTGCCTGGGACAGTGAGGCTGTTAGAGAACTTCTGGCACTGTGACATATTTGCTTCCTCTTAGGTCCAGCCTCTTCCCTCCTGTGCCTACCCACAAACCTTTGCTGTCACTGCAGAATTCAACAGTTAAGTTTCAAGACCTTCCCCTTTTTCTCTAACGGTCTCTGCTTATTAAAGCTTGTTCACCCACCCCTCTCCTGAGACACTTTTGACGTAGGCCTGGAGCTCTTATGACAGTTGTCCCTCAAAGCAGAATCTTTGCTAATGTCCAGATGTCCCTGCCCTCCACCCTCGTTGCTTTGACCATAGTGTGAAGGAAGCATATTTTCCGCCTGCGGTTAACTTCCACTGCAGGTTCACCACAGGTGCCTGAGGGCTTTCCACAAGGAACTTCAGCCTCCTAAAAGTTTGTTCAGAAATACTTTACAGCACGTTTTCACCAATTAAGCATCTGTGGGTATTTTTTCCTATTCTTAAGAGTCTCTTATGCCTACGATGGTTTTCACAGAATTCTGACTACTTGCTGACTACACCATTGACATTTTGTAGGAGTTTGGAGAGGAAGTGCTGTAGGCTTTTCCATATTATTGTGTTCTATTAAAAATTTGCCAACATTTCTTTTATCTTGAGGCTCTCTAGACAGATGTATTTTCAGATAAGTAACTTGAAAAGTACTTTCTTAACCTGCACATAGTGCTGTATGATTAAAGAGATGTGCAAAGAAGTTTGCCCTGCACTAGAACTCAGGTGAATCGCAACAACCTAATGGGAGTAAGCTTTTCTGTAGGAGACGCTGGGACTTTAATTCAGTCCTAGATCTACAAAGGTTTTAGCCGTTTCTCATAATAATTCTTCAAATAAAACAGATAACTTAGCACATATTAAATGGAGCAGGCGAAAGTTCGAGGACAAAGTTCACTGAAAACTTCTTATCCTTCCTACTTCCTTAGGTCCTGGAGTGTGTGTGTGTGTTTCCAGATTGTATCATCTCTAAACTTTAGAAGCTTAAAAAAAAAAAACCCTTTATATTATAGGCCTTTAAAATATGCATAAAAACAGAGTTATCCTCATGTGCCTATGACTGGCTTTGGGGGCTGTGTGTGTGAATGGTAGTGAGGGGTTATTTTGAAACCGTTGTGCTCTAAATGCTAGGTTTGGGGGGTGTGTGTGTGCATGGTAGAGGAAGGGAAATTTTGAAACCATTCCGCCATGAGAATGTTGTTAATGCGTGTGTGTGTGTGTGTGTGTGGTAGAAGAGGGAGTGTTTTGAAACAGTTCCATCATGAGAGTGCTTGTTAATGCTAGCTTTCTCCAGTGGAGGTGACTGAGTTTGCAGTCTCTGTCCAGCAGGATGAATCTTTCCCAGCTCCCTGGCGTCTCCTTCAGGCATAAAATGAAAGACTGAACCAGCTTAGAAGAGTCAGTTCCCTGCTCACTTCTGATGCCATCTGTCCCTGATTGTGGCATTGTTGGGCCCTCTTGCCTCTTATATTTGAAAGGCAGTTAGAGAGATCTTTGATCCTGTGGTTCACTCCTCAAATGGCTGCAACAGCTAGGGCTGGACCAGACCAAAGCTAGGAACCTGGAACTCCAGCCAGGTCTCCCGGAGTGGGACAGGGCCCCAAGTACTTGGGCCATCTTCCGCTGCTTTCCCAGGTGCATTATCGAGCTGGATTGGAAACTGAGCAGCTGAGACTTGAACTGGCATTCTGATATGGGATGCCAGTGTCCCACGCAGACGTTTAACCCATTGTGCCACAACGCTGCCCCCCCAAAATAATGTACTTACTAAAATTGTAGTTGTTACCCTATCCCTAACCTTAACCTTATTTTAAAATGCTGTATGTATTCAGTCCTTTTTTTCTTTTTAGCCCCAAACTGGAACACATTGCTGCTTTGAAATGTGTGCCTTTTTGTGGTTTCCTGCATGTTGCATGACTTTTTAAAAAAGGTTGCCAAATCTTAGTGTAGCTGTGAGTCTTATAATTGAGAAGATTCTGGCACCAGATAATAGATTTGGCTTTTTAAGTCCAAGGGACAGTTTATTGGCTGGGATAACTAAATGCCCAGGATTAGTGCTAGCAGGGACAAATGTTCCAGGAATCTACTTCTTTCCATCATGCGGATCTGCTTCCTTCCATGTGGGATTTCTTCTCCGTTAACTTCTCCTCAGAAGCTCCAGTCTTAGTTTTCAGCTTAGCAGTTGCAGCACTTTTGCTGGAACTCTTGACCTGGCCCGGCTAGTGCTATATACCTGCCCTTACCTGGCTGCAAGAAACTGGGCTCTTCTAGGTCAGGCTGGGCCTTCTGGCTGCCCCTCCCTTTCCCCAGCCAGGGGGTGGAGATCAAACCACAGGAACCGAGAGTGGGGAATTGGGTAGGTGCTTAAAGGAAAATTGGGATGCTGTTACCCAAAGAACAGGAAATGAATACTGGTTAGGCAAAAATAACAGCTGTGTACTGATGAGAAGATCAAATTAATTGGGACTAAATCCCCCCTCAGAGATCCATGATACCTATTACCACCCAGGAGGCTCCAAGTTTAAACATAAAAACAAAGAAGCTTGTTTGGCAGGGGATGAGAGCAAGCCCGTAAATAGTTTTATCTCAGCATCAGTAATATTGTTCATATGATGTGCTTGCCAAATTATCTTCTGATTTGATTCTCCTAGTCATTTGTACTTGAAATTGCAAATGTTTGAAACCCGACGCAACCAGAGATTTTCAGCTGATGCAGATGAGTTTTGCATTTCTTGTAATTTTAGATGCATCCCCATCATTGAAATCCCATTATTTCAGTTGTACCACTCCTCATGTATATTCACTGACTCGGTACCTAGTGGGATTTTTAGGGGGGACTCAGGAAAACATGAGTGAAGAACAAGAACCTGAGAACACCAGAGCATTTCTTTGGAAGCTGCTTTAGGCAAGGTGTCTCCAACCAGGGGAAGGAAGAAGGGAAAGTGGCTGAAGCTTACAGCTTGGTGGATTACACAGACAGTATCATTTGTGACAAGTTCTAGAATGAAGCAGGGTTGCTGATTGTTAAAGAAGTCAAACTGAAGGCTAATTTTTATTCTGATTATGGAGTTGTTGCCTGCATCTCTGACATTAGAGTTCTGATAACGGATTTCACGTGTCTGCACAGGACTAAATAGCAACTCCATAGGAGGGGTGGGCAAATGACAGGAGACCAGGAGTCTTAAAGTAATTTTTGAAAGTCAAATGAATTTTTAGAAACAACTAGGTTTTAATAAATACAAACACCATATTACTGTGTGGTTTTTTTTTTTAACAAAAAATCGTTGGAATAATTTTTTTTTTTTTACAAAATCGTGATATTATGTCTTTGTCTTTTCTTCTTGTTTTTGACAGGCAGAGTGGACAGTGAGAGAGAGAGACAGAGAGAAAAGTCTTCCTTTTGCTGTTGATTCACCCTCCAATGGCCGCCGCAGCCGGCGTACTACGCTGATCCGAAGGCAGGAGCCAGGTGCTTGTCCTGGTCTCCCATGGGGTGCAGGGCCCAAGCACTTGGGCCATCCTCCACTGTACTCCCTGACCACAGCAGAGAGCTGGCCTGGAAGAGGGGCAACCGGGACAGAATCCGGCGCCCCGACCAGGTCTAGAACCCAGTGTGCCAGCGCCGCAAGGCGGAGGATTAGCCTACTGAGCCGTGGCGCCGGCCGGTTTTTATTTTAATTGCTAGTGTTCTTGGCTCTTTTAAGAGATTATAAATTTAGATGGTAAACAATATAATAATATTTTTTCAAGTTTAAATCCCTTGCCTTTCTTGGCCACTGATGGTGTGCAGAGACTATGAATAAAACAAAGATGACATTTTCTGTTTTGGTTGTGGGGTAGAGGTTAATAAATGCTTGTAGATATCATAAGCATGACAGTTGTCACGTCAATGAATAGTTTTTCCACTGGATTTTTTTTCTTTTTTGGTTTAAAATTATTCCTCTCTTTTTGCATCTTGACTGTCTCCCTCATTAATGCAGATATAATGCATATATAAACTATGAGAAACACCAACAAAGAAGTAGAAATCAGATATAAAGTACAATAAGTGTAATACACAACCCCCCCCCCCCAAAAAAAAAACCCTTGAATTTTTGATAGAACTGCTTGTTGTTTGTAGGAAGGATATATATGTGTGTTTGAAATAAGTGCATGTTTCTTAAAAATAAGAAATTAGTCCAGGTTGAACTTGGCTTTAGTGGAATTAGAATGTCTGTTCATTAATAGGATGGTACCCTTTTGTAAATTGTTCTTCTTTCAGTGGAGAGAGGTTGTCATTTATTTTCCTGAAGAGAAAACTAAGGCTTAGTAATTTCAACCTAAGACTATACTGCACTTTTCTCTGTACCAAGCTGCTTAGGGAATTAACTGTCAAGTTGAATTTTACTGTTTTCTTTGTGTACAGTTAGAAAATTAAGATAACTTAGAAAACTAAGATGTTTGTAACAGGTTTTTTTTTTTTAAACTTTATTTAGGAACTGGTTTGGAGATATGGATGAGAAGTCAAATCCTGGAACTTTAAGTGAAAGTTCGGAATGTCTCTTCTCCTTTGGAGTTATAGCAGATATTCAATATGCTGACCTAGACGATGGCTATAATTTCCAGGGAAGTAGGCGGAGGTACTACAGGCAGAGCCTTCTGCACTTACAGGATGCCATTGAAGAGTGGAATAAGGAAAGCAGCCGCCCCTGTTGTGTCCTGCAGCTTGGAGATGTCATTGATGGATACAATGCACAGTACAAAGCGTCAGAAAAGGCCCTGGAACTTGTTCTGAACACATTCGAAACCCTGAAAGTCCCAGTTCATCACACGTGGGGAAATCATGAATTCTACAACTTCAGTAGAGACTATTTAACATGCTCTAAACTCAACACTAAGTCTCTGGAAGATCGGATTGTACATCATCCCGAGACTGTGCCTTCAGAGAGTTACTATGCTTATCATTTTGTGCCGTTCCCTAAATTTCGGTTCATTTTACTTGATGCTTATGACTTGAGCGTCTTGGGTGTGGATGAGTCTTCTCCAAAATACCAGCAGTGTATGAAGATACTGAGGGAGCACAATCCAAATACGGAATTGAATAGTTCTCAAGGTGAATTATTCCTTTGAGCTGAGAATCTAATACATTGTGTTTAAATTCTTCAGCTACCTTTTATTCAGCAGGAAGATGGACGATTAAGGTAAAAGTATATTGTCGCTGTTATTCAGGGTCAGAATTTCTCATGAGCCTGGTGTCACATAGATTGGTGATAGTTGTTTCAAGATTCTTTTATGAAACAGGTACCTGGATGCCTGTTCTGGGCTGGGCACGTTCCATAGGGCTCTATTCAGACCTGCTAACCACACTGACAATAGTATTTGTTTTTTAATGGGTGAATGAGGGACCAAAAGAAGTCAGTGAGCAGGACAGATGAGTGAGACCAAAGCAAGATAATTTCCATAGAGGCTGATGCAATGGAATGTTGCAGAAAAGGACAAGGGGTGCTCTTCTGAATTAGCTGATCAAAGAAAGCCTCTCCAAGGAGATTGTCATTTGATTGAGACCCAGATGACTGGAGGTGTCCTTGAGGAGAAGGTGGGACAGGAGGTTAGCAGGTGGCAGGAAAAAGAGGTGCCAAGGTTTCAGGTGGCCTGGAACTCTGGCATTCTTGAACACAGGGAAGGCCGGTGGGGTAGAAGATGATTTGGGGGAGTAAACAGGTACAAGAATATGTAGCTGCTCATATGTAGTGGTTGTGGGAGGGAGTATTTTTTTTTCCCCCAGTGCAGTGGAAAGCCAGTGGCATAGCAGAGGGAGGTCAAGACTAGGAGTAAGATGCAGGGTGGTTTATGGGTAATACCGCTCTACATTGTGGTGATTGCTGCTAATCAAACACTCTTAAAGGGAAGAATGAGTGTCCTGGAAGTAGCGAAATTTGAAAGTACAAAAGGAAGGGGAGTGTGACATTTGATGGGTCTAACTTACTGAATTCATTCAGGACTTTCTGAGCCCCAGTTTGTCCAGTTTAATGGAGGATTCAGCCAAGAACAGCTGACCTGGTTGAATGAAGTCCTTACCTTCTCTGACACAAACCAGGAAAAAGTGGTGATTGTGAGTAAGTATTTAAAATGTTTATGATTACACTAGCATTTTCAAAACAAGGATATGTTGGCTTTGAAAGCATGCTAGCAGCATTTATGTTTTGCCGTCCTCCTTACACAAAATAGACGCTTATTTTAAAATGTTTTATTGAGATACAACCTGAATATAATATTAACACCTAAGTGTGAGTCAGGAGCAAATTATAAAAGAACAAAAACATGTTCGTGTGTTGGGGCTTGTGAGTTGCTACCTTGGATTTCACAGCAGAATCTCCACAAGGGGTTCCATTTATGTAGTAAGAGAAAGAGCTCCCTTCCGCTGGTCTGCTCCCTAAATGGCTGCATCTGAAGCTGGTAGCCTGGGCCTCCTGCGTGGGTGGCAGGAACCCAGGTACCTGAGCCGTCACCTGTGTCTCCCAGAGAGCCAGACCTGGGAGTTGAACCCAGGCACCCCTGATGTGGCCTGTTGTTAACTGCTAGGCCAAACACTTGCTCCTGTGTGGTAAATTTTAAATGAGGACTTGAGTTCCAGTTTCATGTTGAGGAGCCCTGGTTATCAGTGAATCAGACACAAACAGAGATAACTGCTGCTCAGGTAAAGCAAAGCTGAGGGATCAGCCACAGCTGCAGTGAGCAGGTTCATTCTCTGAGTCAGCCACACAAGGAAATGGTCATAGCATTTCCATTAACGTCATTGTGTATGGACACACGGCCGTCAGAAGTAATAGGGAGGTGGGGGTACTTAAAACACTCATGTACACATGGGCACGTGCACAAACACATAGAGGAGGAACCAAATTTGGATTTACACTATGGCTGTTGGGCTTGGTTTGGGACTGAGATCGCAGCCCTCGTTTTAGAGTCAGTGTGGCACAGTAAATGAGAAGACTGGACAGAGAGCTGGGATGCCGTGTGGCTTTTATTTGTGTGAACTGTGTGGCCCAGCACAGGTATTGAACCTAGAAACTGCTACTTCTCTATATGTTATCAAAGGAAATTATGGATATGAAAACCCTTTGAAAATAATAGGTTGATAATAAAAAGTTCTATTCCCATCTGTAAGTGTAGTCTTCCACTGATGTGCTGAGATGCCAGCTGTCATGCAAGGCTTGGGAGAGTTAAGGTGGCCCCCAAGGTTATGGTTAGGGAGTGACACATTTGACTTCACGTAAGTTCTTGATGAATGCCAGCTTTTTAGTTTTCCAGGGCCAGCCTTCCTGTTTCTTTAGAGTACTGGAGCTGAAAGGGGTCTAGAGATTATACAGCACTGCCTTTAATTTTAAAGATGGAGAATGACAGAATGGAGACTAGAATCCGTGTTTATCTCCCAGTCCCCTTTCCCTGCTGCCCTGTGTCCTTGTTTCCTTTTGCTGATGGCAATGCCCCTGTGTACTTTAATAGTCTCAGGTTTATTTCTGCCACTGCCACTTGCTGTAAGTTCAGAAGCTGGGTAAGCAGATCTTTAACCACCCACTGCCTCAGGCTTTGTTTAGTAGCGTTTAAAAGTTAAAGTGAAACAATTTTGTTTTGTTTTGTTTTGTTTGCTTTTAGCTTTCCTTGTGGCTACTCACACAGGTCATTTTGTGGACTTTCTGAGTTTTGGCTGTGCAGTTGTCTCCTTGGCTGAGACAGGGGACGCTACAGGACAAGGGGGCTTGGGTGGAATGGGCAGTGGCTCAGGTTTGGAAACGGTGGTCTTCAGAAGCCTGTCACACGTTGGTGGGATGTTCAGTGGGCAGTCCAGACATAGGTTTGGGCTAGATATGTGAATGTGGAAGTCGAAAGTGAAGAGGTGCTGTATAAATCACTGAGATCACCAGGCAATAGGTGTGGATAGAGAAGTCCAGGGACCATGCATTTAGGTACCCCAGTGAGATGTCAGGGAAGTATCGAGACAAAATGAGCCGCCCTTGACGTTGGAGGAAAATGAGAAAGATACCACTAAGAAACCTGGGGTGTCTTAGAAGTCAAGTGTTTCCGGAAGAGAGGAGCTAATTGTGTCAGATGCCTCAGGGACTCACTAGATGAGTTTTTCTACCCAGTGCACTCAGATGCAGCCGTCGACACAGCCTGAAGGGTGGTCTGCGTGTGTGTGTGTGTGTGTGTGTGTGTCTCAGAGAAAGAGGAACATGCATTCCTTTCCTGCTTTAGGGATCGGTTAACCTCCCACCTCCTCTTTTTTTTCTTAGCTTGTGTTACAAATAGATGTTAAGCAGAAGTATTTTTACATTTCAGAATAAAAATGAAGAATAACAGAAAAAAGTGATTTGTTGGGAAAAGGCAAAGATCAGTAAGCCCTGGTGCCAGTACTTCAGAGTAAGATCTGTGGCCTGACACATGGTTTGAGCTCTTTGATGCACTGGTATCAGGAGTCCAGAATGCTCCTGGCTGTGCTTCCACACATCTCCCACAGGACCCGTGTAGCCCTTCCCTGCTCTCATCAGTTTTCTCATCTGTAAAGTGGATTTGGCTACCTTGGTCTCCTGGGTGTGTTTATAAAGTCCCATGAATCAGGTCTAAGGCATTGAGTGTTTATATAAATGACACATAATCCATGATCTGGCCCTGAACTGTTCTTTTATGGAGTCTTGCATCTTGCTGTGTGTGTAGCATTCATATTTAATGAGACTGCATCCCAGCAAAGCATCCACCTGATTTCTGGCCACCTTTGCAGACTGCCCTACGGAGATTGCCCTTGATCTCCCATGGTATTTGTACAACTTGAGACGCTGTAGACATCAGAGATTTTGGGGTTTAGCTTCTACAGTACCCTGTCCCGCCTCATTATGTGAACTCTCTTACCATTCTTTCTGTGGCGAGACATGGCTGGAGTTCTTCACGTGTGTTAATTTTCCATGATCTCATTCATTGGGATAGTGAGGTAGCAATACACATACATATTTTTTTTCCCCGAGTACTAGCTTGTAGCCATTGCCTTGATGAAAGAGAGATTTCTTAATTGCCTGACAAAGTCTTCTTTTCTTTAACTCACAGGCCATCTTCCCATTTACCCCGAGGCCTCAGACAGCGTGTGCCTGGCCTGGAACTACAGAGACGCCCTGACAGTCATTTGGTCTCACCAGTGTGTGGTGTGCTTCTTTGCTGGTCACACTCATGACGGTGGCTACGCCCAGGATCCTTTTGGTGTGCACCACATCAACCTAGAAGGCATTATTGAAACAGCTCCCAACAGCCAAGCTTTCGGCACTGTGTATGTCTATCCCGACAAGATGATGTTGAAAGGGAGAGGGAGAGTTCCAGACAGAGTTATGAACTACAAGAAGGAGAAAGCTCTACACTTGTAGTCCGACTCATTCTGTTTTCCTTGGTAGAAGGAAAATGACTTTGCTTTGTGTTTGCTTCCCCAAACAAAAGGAAAAGAAAAGCAAAAATAAAAACTATCAGCTCCATTGATAGGTATTCTGCTTGTGTAATAAAGTGTATTTATGGCTTTAATGTGCATTTTTGGATAATATCTCCAATGCTGAAAGTTAGAAACAGAAGAAACCAGGGAAGGGTCTGAGGTGGGGGCATATAGTCCTCATACGTGGCTTCATCCGTCCATACCTAAAGATTTTGTTTTGTTTCTTTTCAAGAACATATTTATGGGTTAACTGCATAACTTAAAAAAATGATAATAAAAAATAGAAACTCAGGTAAACTTACCTATTTCCCCTGCTGTGAGAATGAGCTTTGGACAGTTTTTATCAGATGGTATTCCTACTGTGTAAACAAAAAACATCAATAGTTACTCCTAGGTAATGTGTGTGCCTCCCTTTGTAAGAAGGTATCCAGAGAGGTCATGTGGTCCTCTTGTGAGTCTAACCAAAAGGCAGACCAAGTGCCCACACAGGTATGTGCCTGCCAGCTCGTGCTACGTGGGCCACCAGCCAGTGCTCTGAGAGCCCAGTGGCTGCCTTAATAGATGGCACATGTTTAATTCAGTAGTTGTGTATACCAAGGCTCATCTGCAGGAACACTCTATGGCCAATAGGACATATTCCAGTGCAGAGAATATGCAGAGACAGTTTGAGTCAGAGCCAAAAAAAAAGAAATACTGGTCAACCTAATTACGCCTGTTGAATACCGAGACACTGCAGGGATGTAAAAGTATATTACCCGTGTGAGGCTGCCATAGTGAATCATCACAGAGCTGGTGGCTGACAGCCACAGGCAGTTGTTCTCAGCAGTTGTGGAGGTCAGAAGCCTGAAGTCATTTCCAGTGAGCAGAAACCAGGGTGTTGGCAGGGTCATGTTCCCTCAGAAGGCCCTGGAAAGAATCCTTTTCCTTATCGTCCCTGGCCTCTAGAGCCCAACCTCTGCATGCCTTGGCTTCTGGCCCACTTCCGCAGCGTCAGTGCCAGCAGCCTAGTGTCCTCGGTGCCCGGGTTGTCACTCCAGCTGCTTTTCTGTGTAGTCAGCCCTCTTCTTCCTCTGATGAAGACATTTGTGATTACATTTAGGGCCCACCTGGGTAATCCTGATAATTTGGATTAGGACCTGACTGTTCATGGGCGGGGATTATTCAACCAACCATGGAGGTGACCACAAATGTGTTCCTGTACTCACACCTTACCGTGAGCTTGAGAGATGGACATCCACAGATGGAAATGTGTGTGACCAGCAGTCATGTAAGGAAAAGACTGGGGGCCTGCAGAGGAATTTAGTTGTGTATGAAAGAGATAACATGAAAAAAGAAGGAAAATGGGTTGAATAAGTCGGAAAGAGCATTTGAGGTAGAATAGCCCAACCAGAAGCGTCAAAGGATATGCTGACAGGCGTACCAAGCAGTGCTACTGGGATTCACTAAGGGGTGCTGGGGATACGGCAAGAAATAGTGCATGGGAGGCTAGGCTAGGGGAATGTTGTCCAGGATCCTTGAGATGTGAGCCAAGAGTTCCTGTTGTCAGAGACTGAGCAGCCCCTGGGTGTGGAGCTGGTTGGGTGTTTCAGTTTGTGTGTCCATCCAGGCAGCAGGAAATGCGAGGCTGATGTAGAAGAGGGCCAGTGGAATCAGATTGTGGGAGTGGGAAGGCATATTTGGGGAACAGAAATGCAACAGTACTTAAATTGAAAAGTTGAGTTTACTTTATTTAAAAAGATTTTCTTATTTGAAAGGTGGAATTAACAGAGTCTGACAGGGACAGCCTCAATCCATCCGCTGGTTCACTCCCCAAATGGCTACAACAGCCAGGGCCGGGCCAGACTGAAGCCAGGAGCCAGGAGCCTCCTCAGGGTTTCCCACATGGATGCAGGGGCTCAAGCACTTGGGCCATCTTTTACTGCTTTCCCAGGTGCATTAGCAGGGAGCTGGATCGGAAGCAGAGCAGCTGGGGCTTTAACTGGCACCCTTATGGTATGCCTGTGTCACAGGCAGTGGCTCTACCCACTATGCCACAATGCCAGCCCTGAAAAGTTAAGTTTAAAAACAACTTCAATAATAAAGCACTTTTCAAAAGACAGTACTCCACCAAAAGTTAGTGTCTTATCTGCTCAGCTGGGGATGCAAAAGGTACTTTAAATATTTGTGGAATTCAGTCATAATGGGAGATGCATGTGCTATGAGACCTACCTTAAACATTACTGTCTTCTCAAAATGAAGCATGACTGGGAGGAAGGGTAGTGCTGATGTCCAGTTTGCAAATGTGCCCATTTCTTCATGTGACTTTAATAGACAAAGGAGGCATAAAAGCCATAAATAGCATGTGAGGAAATTTGCAATGGGAAACGCAAAGGCTTCACATGTATTTCATTGGCCTTTAAATTTTACTATGGGTGCTTGAACCAACTGGATTTTTTTTTTTCCTTTTCCTTTATCCAAGATCTTGATAGAGAATTTCAGGCTGTCATTGGGCACTGTGTCAAAAATAACCAAAACTGCATACCTCCTTTAACAAATATTTATAGAATGCTTACTGTGGTTTTAAAGACTATGAAACGGAGACAACCAACCAGACGCACTGTCACTCTGCTGATGTGTGGTAGGCACTACTGCTACTGGAGTCTATTTCCTATGCGTCAGCCTGCTTTCACCCGACTCCCGGGGTCTGTGTGGTGACTCCGCACCTCTTGCCCCCACCATCAGAAACAATCCACTGCAACATTGTTGAGAAATCAACTGCAACACCTGACTACACCCACATGCTTTGAGACAGCCATGTCCACCAGAAATGAAATGCAAGCCACAGATGTGATACAAGATACTCCAGCAGTCACACGTAGAAAAGTGAACAGAAACACACAAAACTAATTTTAATAGACTATTTTATTTAACCAGATATATTTAAAGTATTCTTTTCAACATCATTATAAAAATATATTCATCTTGTACATTTACAAAAATCTACTGGGTATATTATACCTACAGCTCACTCATTTGAACACTGAAATTTTCATTGGAAATACATACTTAGAAAACAAAATTTGCAGTTGAAAAACAGACTGACATAATCAAGTCATTTCAAATACATTTAAAAGTTTTCTAATAATGGAAGATCACTCTAAAATGGGAGAATAGCCAGATTTTTCCGTCACGCTGGCCTCATGTCAAGTGCTCCATAGCAGCGTGGGGCTAGTGGCTGCTGCATTGGAGAATGCAGCTTTGAAACAGTCCCCTACCTCAGTAACTTCCTACGTTCTTTTCTTAAAAATGTGCACAGATTTTGGCCTCATTACTCAGACTGTAATTAATATTCTCTCTTCCCTTCTTGACTGATCCCAAATTGCTTGCTTCTACCCTATTTCCCTTTCTTTCCAAGGCCTGTTGTTCGTTCGGCTCACGTGGAGTCTTCCTTCAGTTCACAGCACTGTGGCGGTTCAGTCTTCAGGCCAGTTCAGGGCTATGGCCCTCTCAGCTCTACTTCAGTGTTACCCATACTCTGACCAGCTCTGTTTTGATCATGTACAGTTTTTTGCAAGCCCTTTATATTTTCAGAGGGCTCTCATACTAGCGACTTTATCTTTGCAGCTGAATAAGTAAGTAGGACTCCGGTACGAATCCTACTTTCTAGATAAAGAAATACAGTGCTGGAGGTGTATGTGTTTGTCCCTAGTCACATGGAGAGTGGTGACGCTGAATTAGATCATGTTCTTAACTCTGGATCTAGTGCCTCTTCCACCATACCCAGACACCACACCCCTCAGGATTCCAGAGAATGTCGGACCCCATCTCTCACTGTCTTATCCAACCTGACATCACAGACTGCCTTAAAAAGTGGTTAAGGATCCCCCCTTTTTTTTAAAAAAAAAATCATCCCTCCTAGAATTATCTTAAATTACCTGAAATAAACTGCTAGGAAACTGGCCTGTTACCCTAGTGTTTATAAAATGCTGATCATATTAAAAAAATTCACCACTTGGATTCATTTAAATGGCTGTCTTGCAGTGAGTTGGCCAGGAAGACTGCATCTCCTTGTTGGTGTAAACATAGATCCATGAGATAAACGGGAAAAGAACAATTGCAATGGCAAGAGCCAACTGAATTCTTCCACCAACTGGATTCCTATAAATCCAAAAAAAATTCTAAATAAGAATATAATAAAAATGTAAGTTGCACTGGAAACAAAGTTGAATTGGCAAAACATGTCATTACATTTTAGTATAGCTTGTATGTGCATGCAAAATTTGACTTCACTTAATTGACACAATTGTACATAATTATACCCTTCTTCATGTTTATAACTATAACTATATTTATTTATTTATTTGAAAGGTAGCCAGAGAGGTCACCAATCTGTTGGTTCATTTCCCAAATACATGCAATAGCTTGGGTTGGGCCAGGTCAAACGAGGGTCCCAGAAATGAATCCAGGTCTCCCACGTGGGCAGGAGACACAAATACTTTGGCCATTATTTGCTGTCTCCCAAGGTGCACATTAGCAGGAAGCTGGAATTGTAAGTAGAGCTGGGACTCAAACCCAGGCACTCCCAGTATAGGATGCAGATATCCCAAGCAGCATCTTACCCACTGAGTCAAACTCCCACCACCTCCGTTTTTAATTGGAATATAGTTCATAGTTTTATAGAAATCCCTGACATATATTATACATCCTCAAGATTTTGAAGATCTTAAGTTGCCATCTCTCAAAGTTTTATTGTTTTTCTTTTATTCTGTTGGACCTGTAGTCCACCTGGGATTGACTTATGAAAGTTGTGAGGTATGGGTTATTTCACTTTTTTCCATATGGATACTCAGTTCTTCCAGGCACCAGGAAGTTTATTGAAAAGGCACCATTCTTTGCTACCCTGCAATACCACCTTTGTCATAAGTCAAGGATCCATACATACGTATAGATCTGTTTCCAGATTCTGCTCTGTGTCACTAGTTTATCATTTCACCAGTACACATTTCTCAAATTATTTAATCTCTAATTTTTCCCATAATTTTTATAGTTCTGTATGTAGAGATTCTGCAATCTCTGCTAAATTTATTCCTGAGAGGTTATTTTTGATGCTATTATAAGGGACATCATTTTGTTTTTATCATTTTCTGTTACTAGCTGTTAGAAGTACAGTTGATTTTTCCATATTGAATCCAGCAATCATGCTAAACTTAGTTATCAACTGTAATAATTTTTTAAGATTCTTTTCTTCTACCTAAGCAAACCGTGTCATCCACAAATAATGAAAATCTTATTTTTTCCTTTCCAATCCTTGTACGTATTATCTCCTTTTCTTCTTTCAAGTCCTGGCCAGCACAGTGACTGGAACGGGGTGGAGTACTCATCTCACGCCTGCTATCAGAAGGAGCTTTTCACCATTGAGCCCTTCATTAGGTATTTCCTTCCTATATCCATTTTCTAAGAGCCTTTAAAAAAAAAAAGTCTTGAATAGATGTTGGTTTTTATCGGTCTCTCTATATAAATTGAGAAGACGGTTTTCTGTTTTTTCATTCACGTTGAAAATATTGGTTGGGTTTTGAGTGTTTAATTAACTTGGTGCTTCTAGAAAAAATTCACCCTGGTGGTGGGGTTATATATTGCAGGATTTGATTTTCTGATGTTTTGACAGGTGTTTTCCCATCTGTGGCTATAAGGAAGATTACTGTGTAATTTTCTTTTGTTGTAATGTTCTTGGTTGTTCTGTCATAAAATAAGCTTGAAAGTATTTCTTCATTTTCTGTTTTCTGGAAATGTCTGTTGAACGTCATCATTATTTCTTCCTTAAATGTTAGACTTCTCTAGCTATACCATCTAAGTCCAGAATTTTCCTTTAAGGAAAATTTAAAATGTGGACCTAATTTCTTTTAGTAGCTGTGAGATAATTCTTCTTGTGTAAGTTTTGGTAAATTGTATTTTTCAAAGAATTCATCTATTTAATCTACTTGTAAGTGTATTGGCATTAAGTTATTTGCAATCCTCTTACAATTTAAACAAATTATTAAAAGTGTAACTGTGTCCTCTTTTTCAATCTTGGTATTTGTTATGTGTGCTTTCCCTCTTGCTTGCACATTTATTTTCCATTTTTTAGTCTTGCCAGGCTTTATCAATGTTATAAATCATTTTAGACAATATTTATTGGACCTGGTTAATTTTGCTGTTTTTACATCTGTTTTTTTCATTTTATTGAGTTCTCTTTTTTATGTTTATTTTCTTCTTCTTTTCTCCACCCTACAACCCCAAGTGGTGATGGGGGATTAACTTGCTGTTCTTTCCCTAACTTATTGAACTGGGGATTTCTATTACTTCTCCTTAATTTTTGGCCTATTTTTTTTCTTTTTCAGTATATAGTCTTTCTTTTTTTTTAAAAAAAGATTTATTTATTTATTTGAAAGTCAGAGTTCACAGAGACAGAAGGAGAGGCAGAGAGAGCTCTTCCACTCCCCAGTTGGCCCAATTGGCTGTGCCACTGCTGAAGCTGTGCTGATCTGAATCAGGAGCCAGAGTTTCTTCTGGGTCTCTCACATGGGTGCAGGGGCCCAAGGATTTGGGGCCATCTTCTACTGCTTTCCCCGGCCACAGCAGAGAGCTGGATCGGAAGTGGAACAGCCAGGACCTGAACCGGCGCCCATATGGGATGCCGGCACTGCAGGCAGCGGCTTTTCCTGCTATGCCACAGCGCCGGCCCCAGTATATAGTCTTAAGTTTACCAATTTCCCCAATATGATTTTTAGCTGCTTTCTAAAATTTGTGCAGCCATATATTTTGATACACGGTGTTCTTATTCAGTTCAAAATATTTTTTTATTTCCATTGTGATTTTTTAACCCAATTTGAAAGTATATTCCCTAACTTACAAATATAGTGACTGCTTCTTTATCTTTTTGTTAATGATTTCTAGCTTAACTGAACTGTGGTCATAGAACAGAGTCTACAGTTTCAGTCTTTATTTTTTTTTTTTATTTTTTATTTTTTGACAGGCAGATTGGACAGTGAGAGAGAGAGACAGAGAGAGAAAGGTCTTCCTTTTTGCCGTTGGTTCACCCTCCAATGGCCGCCGCGGCCAGCGCACCGCGCTGATTCGATGGCAGGAGCCAGGTGCTTCTCCTGGTCTCCCATGGGGTGCAGGGCCCAAGCACTTGGGCCATCCTCCACTGCACTCCCTGGCCACAGCAGAGAGCTGGCCTGGAAGAGGGGCAACCGGGACAGAATCCGGCGCCCCGACAGGGACTAGAACCCGGGGTGCCGGCGCCACAAGGCGGAGGATTAGCCTATTGAGCTGCGGCGCCGGCCAGTTTCAGTCTTTTGAAATTCGTTTGGACTCACTTCATAGCCTAACACACAAACCATTATTTTATAAATCTGCAATGTGTACATGAATGGGGATTCTGCCACTCTTGGTACAGGTGATCTATGTCCATAGGCCAACTTTCTTATTGTGTGATTAAAAATCTTCTAAATCTTCATTGATTTCTTTTTATGTCTGCTTGCTCTAACAGGAGTAATATATTAAATTCTTGAAAGATAATTTGGATTTTTCACTTTTTCTTGTTATTTCTGTCAATTTTTGTTGTATGTATTTTGAGCAGTGTTATTAGGTACATACAAATTTAGAATTGGTATGTCTTCTTGATAAACTGTACCTTTTTGTTATTAAAAAGTATCTCCTGGGGCCGGCGCTGTTGCTGAGCAGGTAAAGCCGCCGCCTGAAGTGCTGGCATCACATATGTGCACCGGTTTGAGTCCCGGCTGCTCCACTTCTGATCCAGCTCTCTGCTATAGCCTGGGAAAGCAGCAGAAGATGGCCCAAGTCCTTGGGCCTCTGCACCCATGTGTGAGACCTGGAAGAAGCTCCTGGCTCCTGGCTTCTGATTGGCACAGCTTCAGCCGTGGCACAGCTCCAGCCATTGCAGCCAACTGGGGAGCGAACCAGGGTGTGGACGACCTCTCTTTCTCTGCCTCTCCTTCTCTCTCTGTGTAACTCTGACTTTCAAATAAAAAAAAAAAAAGTATCTCCTTCTGGTATCTTAAGCCACTTGCCACATAGAAGAAGATCTGGCTTATTCTTCATCCCATTATACCAGGATAAATTCAAGATATGAATGTATAAATGCAACTATATGTGTATTAGAAGAAAAACTAGGTAAGTTACTTTACCAGCCAGAAGGGAGGAAAGTTTTCCTAACTATGATTAGAGGCTAAATTTATTTGGATCTATCTTGTTTTACAGATTTGACTTTGGAATCATGTAGATGTTTCACATAATTCTAAAATAATAATCTATTTTAAACAAAGTTATCCCTAGAAATAAATGAACCTAACCATTTCACCCGGTGGCATAACACACAGAGCAACTATTGCAAGTGGTCTGAGTGCACACCTTAATGGGATCTACCCCCCTAACAAAGAAAAAGGCAATTTTCAGAAATCATATTGTTATATTGAGATCGTGTTTCTACTGTGGGATAAGTCCAATGAGTTATTATGTTGAGGTTACTGAGATGAGAGACTTGGTCATAATTGAAGTAGATACAGATATAAGATCTCTGATAAGGTTAAATAAAAACTGGTATATATAATATCATACAATATTTTTATCTTTAAATATCTATTTACATGTGTTAACCCTAAATATCTATGACACATACACATTCACACACACTTGGAGAATGTTTGATGCCAGGTCTGGGACATAAAACATGAGCCTAGGGGTGGGTGTTGGGTGCAGCTGTTAGGCTGTTACTCGGGCTGCCTGCCTCCCATAGTGGAGTGCCTGATTCAAGTCCTGCCGACTCCACTTCCAATCCAGCTTCCTGGTAGTGTGCACCCTGGGAAGCGGCAGGTGATGGTTCAAATACTTGAGTCCCTGCCACCCACCTGGGAGACCCATATGGAGCTCCAAATTCCTGGCCTTTGGCCTGGCCTAGCCCTGGCTGTTGCAGGCATTTAGGAAGTAAACCAGCAGATGGAAGATCTCTTTCTGTGCCTCTGTCTCTCTGTGTGTCTCTGTGTCTTTCTGCCTTTCAAATAAAATTAATTAAATGCATATATATATATGTATATGTGTGTATATATATATATATATATATAAAGCAAACCATGTGCCTAGGTATAACGTGAGCCTAGAACACCTTGTTAAACCAGAGAGTAAGAAGGTTACTAAACATTGCTAGGATTATGTCAAAGAGAATTCAGGAGCCAGTGTGAATAAGTGCTGCTGATCAGAGGTGGGGACAGCCTGAGCATCAACACAGATGATAACTGCCCTGGGTTGAAACACGTACGTTGAAATCCATGACTAAATAAAGAAGCACAAATGCACACCATTTCTTGCCCAGGCCAGAAATTTTGAAGGCTAGTCAACAAAGGAAGAGAACCAATGCTTCTTTCTTTCCTTTGCCTCCTTAGATCTGTGAAACTTTCTCTTTATGGGTGTTTTCCAGCTGACAACGTGTAATAATTATAGAATCTACCATTTTGCAACTCAGATGAATGGGTGGATTTAGATAATGAACACCTAAGACCATTAACGTCACAGATAAGGAGCTGGGTGTTCTGTATATTGTGATGGAAGTACATAACACTATTATTTTACATGAAATAGTCGCTGCTAAGAGCAATAATGATGATAATGAAACCAGGTTATGGTCAAGCCTCTGGACTCAAACACCAGCTCATAGGAAATATATGGTACAAAGGAACAAACATTAATAACACTACTGGAGAAAACGTTAAATATTGACTAGAAAGTTGATAAAACCAGAGTTTTTACTGTTTTACTGTAGCGTGTGTGTGTGTGTGATGGCAAAGTGGCTAATGTTAGTATATGTGCTGCTGAAGCGAGCACAGCAAAGTGGCTAATTTTAAGTGTTTTTCTTTTAGAGGTACATAGTGAAATATTTGCAGAGGAAACAATGTCTTATTGGAATTTATTTCAAAATAGTCTGGGGGTGTGAAGTAGGTAGTGGCATAGGAGAAACAAGACTGGACCCATACTGATATTACTGAGGCCAGGAGATGGGTACACCTGATTCATATAGTAGTCGTTCTGACTTTGTGTTTGCGAATTTTCGAAATAAAAAATTAAAACAAGGAAATAAAGGCAATCCCTTCAGAAACCCCCCTTTTTTCTCTGCTCTAAAGTCTACTTGTTATTAAAATAGCTACATTGGCTTTCATGTATGTGGCATTTGTATAGTTTTTTTTCCCCACCTTTTGGTTTTCAATCTTTACATATTGAAGGGTTATCTTTTGTAAGCAGTCTACAGTTAGGTTTTTCATTTTTTATACACTTTGAAAGGCTCTGACTCTCAATGGTCTGTTTCCATTTAATATAATTTCTGGTATATCTGGGTTTAAATTTGTCTTAATATTGGCTTCCTATTTGTCCCACTTGTGCTATGTTTTCTCCCCCTTCTCTTTTCCTGTCTTCAATATTTTCTATGCTTTTATTATGTCTCCTAAGGATTACGACACGAACCCTTGACTTACCAAAGTCCAGTACCAATTGGTACTTTTACCTCTTCCCAGATAATCCAATGACCTCAGACACTTTAACTCAGATTATCCTTCTAACTTAAATGATCCTGTGGTTACATATTTTTATTCTCCGTATGCTTAAACCCCACAAAACATCACCACTGCTTTATAACAGACATTGATTTACCTGTATTTGCACATCTATATTTTCTTTGCTTTCCAATCTTTCCCAAACCTCCCAACTTTCTCCTAAGATCATTTTCCTTTACCTTGAGAAATACCCTTTGGGCCAGCCACTGCCTATGACTGCTGGAGTCACGGAGGAAGCTATGACAGTCATGGACGCGTGAGTGATCATGAAATGCAGATTATGATCAGCTTTGCTTAGGAAAAGGAAAGGAGACTGTTTTCAGAAGATTCCTGTCTTTATGTGCATGTCAGTGTGTTCATTACCACCTGATTTTATAAACCTTGAGTACGTGTCCTGTTTTAATGGGTTGAAAACTTACTTTGCTGAGCTGCGGCACAGGCTCATCCATGCGGTGATAATCAGCAGGCCAGACAGCTCCCTGTAAAACAGCACACAGGGCTGTCACCTCCCCTCCATGACCACCTGATGGGGCATTCGGGCCGGGTAACTTTCCCCAGATATACAGCATCCACAGTATGTTTTCTCATTGGGTCATGACTCATAAATTATTTTTCTCCAAATGAAAATTAATTCCATCTAAAGGAGCAGATATATTATAAATAGACACCTCCTAGAATTAAATACATATTTTTAAAAACCATATGAGGATGCATCATTGACTGGGAGGAACAAGGCAACCAAGAAAATAAGGCCAGATTTGATCGGTCATTTAAAAAATTTTTCTTAGACGTTTCAGTGTTAGGAAGGCTCAAACCAACACATAATTTGAGTATGATTGCAGCAGATTGGGTTAGTGTTTAGGGAAGAGGAATGAATCAGACAAATAATTTTGGAATGGGTATAAGCTTCTAGATGTACGTGCTAAAAGCACCTCTCTCTTCCATAGAAAAAGTCATATGATGCCAGTAACACTGGAAGCCCCAGCTTTCATTCACCATAACCAATGGGCTTCAAGCTGGAGGAGACTCAACCCACCTGATTTACATTCCCATCTAGAGACCCAACCTGATTGGCTCTCCAGTTTGCCAACTGTGAGGCCCTGAACCAAAGCAGCAGCTTTCTCCTGATGCCTAATTTTCAGTGTCCGAATCTGGGTGTGGTATTGGCAGATCTCAGCAGCGGAGCAGAAGAGAGTACAGGGGCTCTTAATAAGGCCAGGGAGTCAAGGGCAGAAGGGAGCAAAGGCAGAGGTGACAAAACAGGAAGGAAGGGTCAGGATGGGGAGGTGACACGAGACGTTCCAGACCGAGCCCAAAGCACTGGCTGATCCTACTTGTAGGTAAGACTTTGTCTGGAAGCAGAGTGAATTAGCATGCGGGTGAAGTTGTGAATTCGCCAGACTACACTGACGATTGCTGTACTGCACCCTTGCCAGTGGCGAGGAAGCCAAACTCCAGCTGCCCAGCAGGCTACAACGTGCTGCAGAATGACTGCCCACAGTAGAAAGAGTAGAGTCTGATGCACAGTGTTGGGGGTCAATCCTGGCTCTAACATTTCCCCAGTTTCTCCCACTTACAAGGGAGATGATATCCCTCCCCCACCCCCTGCCCCGTCCTACTCCTCGTGGTATAGCTACGATAATTAAATCCTCATTGTGCACAGAGAAGGTGGTGGTGCAACACAATCCAAGAATTCTCAGTACTACCCCACCCTTCCAAAGAGCAAAAGTCACTGCTTACCTGCCTTCTTCCTCATGCAAGATATTCTGCTGCGTGTGGAACAAGAAGTGGTAGGCCAGGCCCACAGCCCACAGCACGCAAACTGACATGTGTACTGCAGACACACTCTTCCAAAGGAAGTTACCTACAAATAGATAACCCTGATGCTGTTAATTATGTTAGAGTATCTCAAAAAAAAAAAAAAATGATGTCTTTCTGTGTGTCTTTTTTTTTTATTTTTTTGACAGGCAGAGTTAGACAGTGAGAAAGAGACAGAGAGAAAGGTCTTCCTTTCATTGGTTCACCCTTCAAATGGCCGCTACGGCCGGCGCTGCGCCAATCCGAAGCCAGGAGCCAGGTGCTTCTCCTGGTCTCCCATGCAGGTGCAGGGCCCAAGCACTTGGGCCATCCTCCACTGCCTTCCCAGGCCACAGCAGAGAGCTGGACTGGAAGAGGACCAACTGGGACAGAATCTGGCGCCCCAACCGGGACTAGAACCTGGAGTGCCAGCGCCGCAGGCAGAGGATTAGCCTAGTGAGCCACGGTGCCGGCCTGTGTGTGTGTCTTCTTATAATGTGCTTTCAGGAAAGGCATTCAGAAAAAACTCCATTTTGTCTTTTTTTTTTTTCAGGAATGACAACCATAGAAGTCATAGTCCTGATTATATAAACTTAAGTGGTCACTTGTTGTTTTGGTTGCCTCGCAACTCCTCCTTCATAGGACGACCACCCTGGGAACTGGACAGCAGCCAGGTGAAGCAATGCATTTTATGCCCTTAGCCACAGGGATCTGGCATGGTATGAACAGATGGTGAATCTGGGCCAGCAACTCAAGTCTGAGACTTTGGGAGAGTAAAGAAGCAAAGCCTGTATCCTCTTGGAATAGAGTCTGTTAGACATGAGCCAGGAGCTGCAGGGCTACCACGTGGGCATCTGGTGTGAAATCACAGCAATGGACCAGGGGGCCCGAGAGGTGGAGAGAAATGTTAAGTTCCAAGTCCACCAGCGCCTGGAGTCAGCGCCACCACATCTGCTTAGTGAACTACACGCTCACAGAAAGTGAAATGAAAAGATAAATTTATTCTCGTGCAAAAATAATGTTGAAATCCACCATGTGAGGGGACTTCAAAAAGTTCATGGACAGTACACATTATGGAAAAAACTATGCATGGGTTTTAACAACTGTTTATCGCACCCAAATAAACTTTTCTTTCTATTTTTCGAGGCCTTTTGAAGTGTCCTCATATACTGATACATTTTCTTCCCCGCTCAGAGCACGTTTGAGTTGTTGAGTATTTTTCTAGCTTATATAACTAAAGGAGTCCCAACTTGAAGTCCCACCTTCATGATACAGAGTTCTGGAGACCTGAACGAGGAGCCCAGGCATTTAGGGAACTAGAATTTTCCCCATCAAGGTGGGAACCAATCATTGGTCTTAATCCTGATGCCCCTGAGGACTGCCAAGCCGCACTAGCAGAAGCTGGGCCCAAGTCTGGCTCACAAAGCCAGCCTTCTCTATGAGAATCAGCCTCCAAGGGACCTGAGGACTTGCCACCAGGCCCACCTCCTAGATCAGAGGTGAGGAACATGCAGCCCATGAACTCATCGGGTCTGGCCCTGCCAAGGCGACCGCAGGCAGGACTCGAAATTCAATAAAGCTCTGGCAGGCTAATTTTCAAGTTGATAATGCTGTATGGTCCACGAATGATGTTATAAATATCCAAATGGCCCTTAGGGAAAAACAAAAAAAGGTTCCCCACCCCTGTCCTATAACTGGATCATATCTCCACCTTGTCCTTATAGGGCCAAGCCTTTAACACATGGGCCTCTGGAGGATACCACAGCTAATATCCAAACTATTGCCAAGAGCAACATATATTAATGAGACTTGTTTCAGACATTGTAAGCAATCTCTGTACGTAAGTGGCAGTTCAGGTACATAACTGTTGAACAAATTCCAAATAAGAAAATCATGAATGGGAGTGGTATTGCTCTAAAAAGAATTCATAAAGAGAGTGGGTTGAACTACACTGTAAAGAAATATGGAATAGGGGCCAGTGCAGTGCCGCCTCCTGCATTGCCAGCATTCCATACGGGTGCCAGTTCGAGTTGGGGCTGTTCCACTTCGGATCCAGCTCTCTGCTATGGCCTGGGAAAGCAGTAGAAGATGGCCCAAGTCCTTGGACCCCTGCACCCACATGGGAGACCCGGAGGAAGCTCCTGGCTCCTGGCTTCGGATCGGCTCATCTCTGGCTGCTGTGGTCATCTGGGGAGTGAACCAGCTCTCTCTCTGCCTCTGCCTCTCTGTAACTCTGCCTTTCAAATAATAAATATTTAAAAAAAAAATAAGTATGGAATAGACATCAATTGCCACTGACTACAGAGACACAAGGTTAGCACTTAGATCATTGCTGAGTTTACACTGGTTTTGTGCTTTAGAAATCGGTGCAGTGACCGAAACCCTTGTCTCTCCTGGGCTGAGCTACATAACCGCTCCTCTAGCTCAGCATAAGGAGGACTTGGGTCTAATAAGTAAAGATGACTTCCCATGGCACGACTTCGTACAGTGCTCCTAAAGACGGGTAAGGATGATCTGGGCTGAAACGGTGCCTTCATTATCAGAAGCGGGAAGAAAGACTTAGCCCCATTTTTCTCCTGGGAGCTGGGAAAACACATTCTGATTATTCTAAGACAGTCAGATTTGCCGTGACTCCACTCTGAATTCAGGGGTTCATACCTGTGACGAGAGGGTTAAGTCCAACAAGCAGGGTCAATACTGCAGGGATCGCATACATCACCTGTTAGCAGAAACAAGAAATGATGTGAGTTAAGAAGTATGCTCCGGGTCAGGCACCGTGCGTGGTGCAGCAGGTGAAGCTGCCACTTGGGATGCCCACATCCCATACTGGGGTGCCTGGGGTCTCGTCCTGCCTCTGCCTCTGCTCCAGCTGCCTGCTAATGTGGCCTGGGAGGCAGCAGAAGGCTCATGTATGGAGTCCACGCTATTCACATGGGAGACCCAGATGGAGTTCCTGGCTCCTAGCTTCCATGTGGCCCAGCTCCCTTGGCTGTTGTGAGCATTATCATTCACTGCCTTCCCTTCCCAAGCTCGTTAGCAAGAATGCTGGATCAGAAGCAGAGCAGCAGGGACTCGATTTCACACTTCCATATGGGATGCCAGCAGCACTAGCTATGGCATAACCTGCTGGGCCACAATGTCAGCCCACAGAGTTTGTATAATTCTTTTTTTATTTTTGACAGGCAGAGTGGACAGTGAGAGAGAGAGACAGAGAGAAAGGTCTTCCTTTGCTGTTGGCTCACCCTCCAATGGCTGTCGCAGCGCACCGCGCTGATCCAAAGCCAGGAGCCAGGTGCTTCTCCTGGTCTCCCATGCGGGTGCAGGGCCCAAGGACTTGGGCCTTCCTCCACTGCACTCCCGGGCCATAGCAGAGAGCTGGCCTGGAAGAGGAGCAACTGGGACAGAATCCGGCGCCCCAGCGGGGACTAGAACCCGGTGTGCTGGCGCCACAGGCGGAGGATTAGCCTAGTGAGCTGTGGCACCAGCTGCCCACAGAGTTTGGATCAATCTTAAAACATGCTGAGGGGCCAGCGCTGTGACGTAGCAGGTAAAGCTGCCACTTGCAGTGCCAGCATCCAGTATGGATGCTGGTTCGAGTCCCAGCTGCTCCACTTCAGATCCAGCTCTCTGCTATGGCTGGGAAAGCAGTGGAAAATGGCCCAAGTGCTCAGGCTCCTGCATGGTAGACCTGGAAGAAGCTCCTGGCTCTTGGCTTCGCATCAGTGTAGCTCCAGCCGTTGCGGCCATCTGGGGAGTGAACCAGCGGATGGAAGACCTCTCTCTCTCTCTGCTTCTGCCTCTCTGTAACTCTGCTTTTCAGATAACTAAATAAATCTCAAAAACAAAACAAAACATGCTGAGCTCCCCATCTTTCCAAGCAATTTCCATGCCAAAATGACCTTTACTCACTTCCCACTTGCTAAAAGAAGCCATGAAAAGTAGCCATGGTCAGCTAGACGGCCCTGCAGGGGCTGACCCAATGGACCATGCAGCCTAATATTCCATAGGAAGTTTTCCAATGTTGAACAGATCAGAGGTGCCCACAGAGAAAGAAGTTCAGCCTCCTCATGTCGGAAGATTCTGATGAGCTCCTTTGGGATTTGAAAGACTGGCTCCAAAGAGATTCTCTTCCCAAGCCTCATTTATAGCAACCAGGCTCTCGCCAAGCTTAATATTGTATGTTGTGTGTGTGTGTGTGTGTGTATATGCAAGTGTGTATATGGGTATATGTGTGCAAGTGTGTGTAGGTGTGCATGCGTGAGTATGTGTATGTATTGTGTGTCTGTATCGTGGGCAGGGGGCAAGTGGAGAGGGTAGGCTTACAGGAAGTCTGAGGCCTCCGAGAAAGGCAGCCACTTCACCACATCTACTGCTGGGCTTATGTTAAAAGCTTCAGTTTATCTGGAGGCTGTCAGAGCTGCACATCTAAAGCGATTTGTTTTCACTCTAATAACCTGTCTGTCTTGACCCTGCGGAGAGAGAGCACCAGGATTCCAGGCTCTGTTCATCTTTTCTACTCCACTGCTAGCGGGTACTGGGATATCCGTCAGTGCTGACATCTGCAAGGCAGGTAATCTCTCCCAGGTGCCAGGCAAGCTGCTGAGGGCTCCATCAGGACTCTGCAAATGTTAACATGCGCAGAAGTCACTGGAGAGAGCTTGCTAAAATGCAGGTTCTGACCGCGAGGCCTCAGGTAAAGGCCACGATTCTGCTTTTCCAGCAAGTTCCCTCCCTAGGTGACCTCATGTCTTAATGATAGAGAGGGAGAGAGGGAGAGAGGGAGAGAGAGAGAAAGGACATACGTAACATAAAATATTTAATTGTGCTCTCCATAAGAAATGTTTGGGGGGCGGTGCTGTAGGGCGCTGGTTTGAGACCCGCGTGCTCCGTTTCTACCCAGCTCCCTGCCAATGCACCTGGGAAGGCAGCAGAGGACGGCCCAAGTGTCTGGGCCCCTGCCACTCATGTTGGGGGACCTGGGTGGAGCTCTGGGCTCTAGGGTTTGGCCTGGCCCGGTGCTGGGCATTGTGGCCATCTGGGGAGTGAACCAGTGGATGAAAGATCTCTCCCTCTCTATCTCTCTTTCAAACAAATAAATAAATCTTTAATAAAAATGTTTGGAATGTATTTTTTATTTTTTTTATTTTTTGACAGGCAGAGTGGACAGTGAGAGAGAGAAACAGAGAGAAAGGTCTTCCTTTGCCGTTGGTTCACCCTCCAATGGCCGCCACGGCCGTCGCAGCCGGCGCACTGCGCTGATTTGATGGCAGGAGCCAGGTGCTTCTCCTGGTCTCCCATGGAGTGCAGGGCCCAAGCACTCGGGTCATCCTCCACTGTACTCCCTGGCCACAGCAGAGAGCTGGCCTGGAAGAGGGGCAACCGGGACAGAATCCGGCGCCCTGACCGGGACTAGAACCCGGTGTGCCGGTGCCGCAAGGTGGAGGATTAGCCTAGTGAGCCACGGCGCCGGCCAACAAAACCATTCTTTAAAGTCACAGTTCCCCACGGCAATTATGACGCAGTAATCATCATGTCGATGTTTTCTCTATTATAAAGTTTGAGAGAAGAGACTGGAAATCATTATCTCTACTACACATATTAAAACAACATTCAGTGAACCCAATAGACTCTATGTACAATGCATTTTATATTTTGTTAGTAGATTTAAAACAAAGCAAAACCAACTATGAGCAGTGTGGGGTTCCCTTACACTATTTAGTTCAATGCAACACACAGGCGCTGAGAGCCTGGACGTCATTGCTAATCCCACGCTTGCTTGGCTGCGGGCCAGGACAAAGGCTTTCTGAGAAACCCAGGGCTCCCGTTCCAGAAACGAAATGGTGTCTCCCAGGGTCAAGGGGGATGATATTGAACGCGTGTAACAACAGGTATGCATGGGAGCTGACCTACCAGAATGAACCCTGACAACATGCCATATTGGTCTGCACAATCTGAACAGCAGCCCTGCTGGGGGTGGGCAGGATGGGGGGTCTCCCAAGAAACCTTCTCTAAAGAAGGGGAAGAAAGAGCAGGAAAAAAACTTACTTTGCCCCTGCTTTATTTCTGCCCACTTGAGATGCTCTTTTTTTGTGTAATTTTTTTTTGACAGGCAGAGTGGACAGTGAGAGAGAGAGTCAGAGAGAAAAGTCTTCCTTTGCCATTGGTTCACCCTCCAATGGCTGCTGCGGCCGGTGCACCGCGCTGATCCGATGGCAGGAGCCAGGTACTTATCCTGGTCTCCCATGTGGGTACAGGGCCCAAACACTTGGGCCATCCTCCACTGCACTCCCTGGCCACAGCAGAGAGCTGGCCTGGAAGAGGGGCAACCAGGACAGAATCTGGCACCCCAACCGGGACTAGAACCCGGTTTGCCGGCGCCGCAAGGTGGAGGATTAGCCTAGTGAGCCGCGGCGCCGGCCTGAGATGCTCTTTTTTTGGAGATGAGATGTTTGGAGCTGCAGCAGCCATTCTATAAACACAAGGAGGGATCTAACTCATAGAGAGAGGATGGCAGAGACCAAAGACAGAAAGCCCAGGTCCTGGACGACACTGGACCATCAAGCAGCCACATCCCGACTTCTTGTTCAGTGAGGTGCCCTGTGGTTTTATGACCCAATGCTGGTCATATTTACCATTATTTGCTGCTGACACAAGTGTCCTCCATGGGTTAGGGGTGATACAGGGGACATGGGGATAAGCCGGGTGCAGCGCCAGCCCCCAAGGCCCAGTAACCTAGTGTTTGTCCATAGGGGCATTCACTCATGCGACAGTCAACATAGAAAGGACTTCTGTAAAGCCAGCTCCACGTGAGGTTGCCTGGAGACAGCCAACAGCAGGGAAGAATTATTCCTTATCCTCCTGGGAGCTGGCAGGGCCAGGGCCAGCTCTGGTGCAAAACTGAATGTGTTCACACCGCAGAAAAGCCTAGAAAGAAGAGTGGCTGGGATTTCTGAGGACGGTTTTTGGTGTGGGGGGGAGGACAGCATTTGAAGCAGTCCTCGGGTAGACTGGGGCAGGCAGGGCACCATAACTATGAGAGCTGGCCTGGGGCTTCAAAGGCCAAGCTGAGAAGGAGGGCAGGATCCAAACTGTGGCAAGCCTGGGGTCCAACTTGGGAAGCTTCACCTTACGAGATCCTGGGAAATGACTGGGGTTTGTGAAGCAGAAAGTGGCACACAGGAAGTGTGCTAGGAGTGCAAGAGACTAGAAGCAGATAGAAGAGTCGGGAGGGGGCCAGTGTTGTGGAGCAGTGGGTCAAGCTGCTGCCTGAGATGCCAGCAAACCATAGGAGCACCAGTTCGAGTCCTGGCTGTTCCACTTCCCAGCCAGCTCCCTGCTAATGCTGCTAGGAAAGCAGAAGAAGACGGCCCAAGTGCTTGGGCCTCTGCACCCACGTGGGACACCTGGAAGAAACTCCTGGTTGCTGGCTTCAGCCTGGCCCAGCCCTGGCCTTTGGGGTCCTTTGGGAGGTGAACCAGCAGGTGGAGGATCCTTCTCTCTCTCTCTGTACCTCTAACTTTCAAATAAAAAATTAGTGGGGAAGCTGCTGCATGGGTCCATGTGAGAAGAAAGGGCACCTATGTGTCCCACGTAGATGGCAGGGGCCCAAGCACTTGGGCCATCTTCCATCTGCCTTCCTAGGTGCATTAGCAGGGAGATGGACTGGAAGTGGAGCAGCTGGTACGGGAACCTCTGCTCATACGGGATGTGGCCTTGGTCACAGGCACTAGCTTAACCTGCTATGCACAATGCCAGAGTGAGAAATTCAACAGTAAGCTGGATATTGGAGACTTATCTTCAGGGAAATATTTGAAACTCGGGGCCCAAGAGCTGAGGAAGGGGCAATTTGATTTTCATCAGGGACCTGTGACTGGATAATATCTCATATCAGAATGCAGTCCCACTGCACTGGAAAAATACCAGGCAATAAACAGACGATGTAGGATTTTGCAAAATTCCCCAGGCTTCCTCTTGTTGCTCATCTGTCCATGGTTCAATGCTATTCCAAAGCCTACACATCTTCTCGCTGGTGATGTCATACAGCCTTATGTATCTACACAGAAGGAAACTAGGCAACATCCAGGTATTGCAGAAAATGCACTGGGCTGTCTCCTCCAGCCTTTAACAGTTCACATCTGAGCCCAGGTTGAATGCCTGCTTGTAGTGTTATGGCTTTCAGGGACTTTCTATAACCCAGTGAATTAGCAGAACCTTGGGACTCAGGCCCACTCAACGCTGGCTGGGGTTTCTGGCTGGGAAGTCATGAGGGATGGCTCAGCAGACCCTGAAAATGTCCACTCTTGGTTCTCCAGATGTGTCCTCAGCTGTGCCACTCAGGACCCCCTCCCCCGGTGGACAGCACCGTATTTGCATATAACCTAGGGGTATCCTCCCAGGGACTTGAAATCATCGCTAGATGACTTAGGATACCCGACGCAAGGTCAGCAATCGTTATATCATATGGTCTAGGGGATCACGACAAGAAAAGGAAGTCTGTACGTGTTCAGGACATGTGCAATTTTCCCCCCCAGCATTTCCCAGCCACCAGTGGTTGAAGCCGTCCACACGTACACAGAGAGCCGACTGTCATTCTTAGCTTTCTTGAGGCTGAGTAAAGGACATCCTTTGGATAGCTGTCCACAAGGTGAGCAATGACGCATGACAAGTGACCAGCACAGGGCAAGATAAAGGCTCCGACTGTTGTTAAGCCTGGTGTCCGCCGTGCTGTGCCACAGCAGGTAAAGCCACAGGCTGCAACACCGGCATCCCATGTGGGCGCCGTTCCTGTCCCGGCTGCTCCGCTTCCGATCCAGCTCCCTGCTAATGCACCTGGGGAAGCAGTGGAGGATGGCCCAAGTGCTTGAGCCCCTGCAACCCAAGTAGGAGACTCAGATGAAGCTCCTGGCTCCTGGCTCTGGCCTGGCCAGCCCTGGCTGTGAGAACCTCTTCCAGTCTCTTTCTGTATGTCTCTTCTCTGTAACTCTAACTTTCAAATCAATCAATCAAACTCTCTCTCTCTGTTTTTTGTTTGTTTGTTTGTTTGTTTTTAAAGGCCTGGTGTCATTAAGGTAGCAAGAACTGCTGGTATGATTCTCTCTCTCTCTCTCTCTCCTTGTGCACAGCCCTCTGTACCTCCAGAAAGTTGGGAATGTATACACACAGCTTACACTTGTCCCCTTTTAATTTTTGCGCCCACCACCCCCCCACCCGCAACGGATTACAAAAATTTTTTTTAGGGAAAGAAAACTTAAGAAGCATTTGATGTGAGCAGAGGACGGGCAGATATAAGAGCGCATTCCGGGCAGTTACACGGTTCTTTCACACAGCGCATACTCACAACCCAAACTTCTGCGTCGGGATCATTGACCTGGAAAGACAGAAGGGGCAGGCGTCAGCTGACATCCCGTCCCGCCACACTTCGGTGGCCTGTTCCTGTCCCGCCCCCGTCCAACACCCGGCCTAACCGGGAAGGACGCAGGAGCCCCCGGAGCAGCCTCCAAGGGACAGCCCCCCATCGGGTGCCCAGGTGTGCGGCGTGGTTAGGGGGGACACATCCGTGTCTCAAGAGGTGGAGACCCAGGCAGAAACCCGAGTGCTGTGTTCGGGTTTGGGCGTCCGTCTACACCCCAGCTGGCCCTAGGAGGAGCCCGGAGCCCGGCGGGTGTCCCCAGCCCCCGCGGCGCCTGACCTGCACGAAGGCCGCCAGGGCGAAGAAGGCGGCCATGAGCGCGTTGCAGGCCCTCCACAGGGCGCGCGCGCGGGGCCCGGCGGCCGGCGCCATCCGCGGGGCTCGGGAGCGCGGGGCTCGGGAGCGCGGGGCTCGGGAGCGCGGGGCTCGGGAGCGCGGGGCTCGGAACCCGGGGCCCGGAACCCGGGGGCGGCCCCCGGGGCCCGGGATTCCTTCCCTTGGGGGGGGCCCGCGCCCTTCTCCGTCCCCAGAGTGCCCCCTGGTGGGGCGCCCCCCCCCCGGAGCCGAGCGTGGCGGGTGGCGGGCGTCCGTGTGCCCCTTTCTCGGAAGGGGCAAGTGAACGCCCAGGGGGCCTACGGCGCCTCCTCGAGGGAACCCCCAGACTCTCAGTTCCAGCTCCATAGCCTGTTTCCACGAAGGCTGCCTTCCTCGTAGAGAAAGTAGAAAAAAGAGGAAAACAGGAGGGGTGTGTGTGTGTGTGTGAGCGCGCGCCCTCATCGGTATTTACGCATTTCTCTCCAACGCTCTCCTGCAAAGCCACATAAGCATTATGGTAATTTGTAGACGGTTATATTAGAATCTTCTACGGCTCACAGATTTTCCAAAGACAGCCTCATCTGACTCCAAGGGCTTTTATTATAAAAGGTTTTTACATATTCTACATATTTACAGTTCTCTCCCATCACCAAGATCAGCCACGGTCCTGCACCCCTAGCTCATGAATTTCCCCAGGGACCGAAGACACTGGCATTCTCCCAGGGCTCCCCTCACTCCCTCTCCTCGCCTTTCCTCCTTTTGGGTTCTGTCATTCAGACGAGTTCTTCCCAGGCCTCATTTACACATCCATGGGCCGCGTCCTTGCTGCTGCTCTAAAGATTCTTTATAAAATCTGGAGCACCCGTGTGCTTGTGAACCTCCCACCCCCTTCCAACTTCAGGGAAATTTCCAGAACCTTCGGAGGGTTTTCTCTCTCTTTCAAGACATGCTTAGTCCTCCACCCCGTGTGTGCTTGGTGTTGGGACCCTGGAGGTGGATTGGATAGCCTGTTTGCTCTCCTGGGAAGGGGGCTTGGTGATTGGCCGGGGATGGGGGTGGGGGGCACACACACATTAGCAGAGGTATGGAGGAGACAGCTGGGACCCCTCCCCCAAGCACACACTGCCTGAAGTCTGACAAGGCTGCTTCTCCGTGCCCCTGCTCCATCAGCCTTGGCGTCTGATACAAGATGCTGCCACTGCTGTGTTCTTTAAGTAGAAAGAAAAAAGAGGGAGTGTGACAGTGAACTTCTCTGCCCCATGAAATCCTGCGTTGAAGCTGTGGCCCCCTAGTGCCTCAGCATGTGACTGCACCTGCAGACAGGGTCTGCTGTGGGGTCTGCGCGCGGTTGGGGGTATCTCCCAGAGGTGCCTGTGCTGCGAGCTCCGTCCCCCAATGTGGTGATGCTGGGAGGTGATGGAAATTTAAGAGGTGGGGCGTAGCGGGAGGTGATGAGGTTACGGGGTGCTATACCTTGGAATTGAGTTGCAGAGTTCTCGTGGGACCCAGTTAGTATCCTGGGAGAGGGGGGTATTGTCAAAAGAGTGAACCTGACTCCCAAATCTTTTAAAGATCTATTTATTTATTTGAAATGCACACACACACACAGAGAGAGAGAGAGAGAGAGAGAGAGATTTTCCATCCATTCGTTCACTCCCGAAATACCTGTAACAGGGCTGTCCCACATGGGTGGCAGGGTGATGGGACCATCATCTACCTTCCCAGGTGCATTAGCCGGAAGCTGGATCAGAAGTGGAGCAGTCAGGACTCAAACTGGTGCTCTGATATGGGATGCTGGTGTGGCAAGTGGCAGCTTAACCTGTTGGGTGCACCACAGCGCCTGCTCCACGAATCTCTCTCACTTCTGGTCTCGCCTTGTGACCTCCTCCATGTGAGTTCCTGTGTGGCGCTGCCGTCACCATACGGCCCTCACCACCAGAGAGACGGGGCTGCCCAGTCTTGAGCTTTCAGCCTTCCAAAGCTGGGAGCTAAATAAACCCCTTGGGGCCAGCGCAGGTAAAGCCGCCGCATGCAGTGCTGGCATCCCATGTGGGTGCCAGTTCGAGTCCCAGCTGCTCCACTTCAGATCCAGCTCTCTGCTATGGCCTGGGAAAGCAGTAGAAGATGGCCCCAGTCCTTGGGCCCCTGCACCCACGTGGAAGACCTTGGAAGAAGCTCCTGGCTCCTGGCTTCGGATCAGCAGAGTATCCTCTTTACAGAATCCTGTTTGAATTAGGAAGTTGTCACTCACAAGGAAGGATGATGACTTGTCCAGTCAGGAGTCAAGAGTCAACCCAACGCTTGACATCCACAGTACCCCCTGCTGAAGGCTCTCCCAGACTTCCACGCATGGGGCAGAGAAAAGAAGAGAAGGCTTGGCCTGGGAAGGTGACGAGGAATGAGTTGAACTGAATCCAGCATGTCAGACAGCTCTGCTGGAGCAGCTTCTCGCTTCCCTCTTTGAGGAAAGACGGAGATGATGCGGTTCTGAGGGGGAGTGAGGGCCTGGCACAGCCAGCTGCCCTCTGCAGAAAGAGTGACACTAAGGAACCCGGTCCTGCTGAGCTCTCCCTGGCTGCCAGGCCAGTGACAGCTGCCAGCGCCACCAGTGCCAGGAGAGCTAGATGCACCTGACAGTGGCTGGGCAGCCAGTGGACGTTTGCCTGGGAGTGGGATCATAATCACAGTGCCCAGAGATGCAACGGAGAGAGTCAAGTGCACACAAAGGCATGGGTGCCCTTCTGGGACCATGGGATTGAGAGAGAGAGAGACAGAGGTGGAGATGGAGATGGAGATGATGGAGATGATGGAGATGGAGATGGAGGGAGAGGGGGTGGGAGAGTGAGTGAACCCAGGAATGTATGTTAAGGAAGAATGTCAGCAGAGGAGGGTTGGAAGTCCCTACGAAGTCATGTCCATCTGACAGGCAACAGCAAGTCAAGCCCATCCCTGCCCAGGCTGGAGGGGGCACCTTGCTGATCAGACATGGACACTCAGATTTTTTTGGTCAGCCAGTTCACCAGCCCAAGCCCTCCTTCTGCTGGGATTCTGGGTGCTGCTGGGTTCATGGGTCCACAAGGTGGCATTATTTAGCTCCCAGCTTCTGGGTGCTTGGATTCCCATCGAGCTCTCCTGCAGAGGGGAGCAAGCACCGATCCACGAGCCGGTTATCCGTCTAAGCATTTTGGTAGAATGGTGTTCTCTTCTATAGACTTGTTCACCTTGTACTCGTCTCCATGACCTGTGCCACCACATGTGGTCAGCTCAGCTGCTCTGGAACGCACAGGCAGGGTGGACAACAGCCTGAAGCAGCGTCATCCTTGGGATCAGCCCCTCCTGCAGGGCGTCCAGAGCGTGGGTCCTGGTGATGCACACAGCGTGACATGTTTGAGGACTGGGGATGACAGGGCTCAGGAATCCCTGCCTATGCTCAGTACTGACCCATTCCACTGTCCTCTGCCCAGCACACGGGGTCAGCAAAGGCCAGACCACGCTCTCTGCAGTCTCTGCTGATGCCAAGTGGTGAAGCATTGGCGGGGGAAAGGATTTGGAATAGGACAGTGAATGTTGCAAGACACCTGGCTCAGATGTCCTCTGGCGCCCCCCACTGGAAAGAGAATGTAGTTTCGTGTACCCTTCACCCTCTTTTCATCAGCGTGAAACACTCACTGAGCCATTTCTTTCATCCTTGCACGGTTTGTTTCAGACAGGCACTGAGGATGTGGCCATGAACACAGCAGGCACCGTCTTCGCCCTTGTGGCGTGTGCAGACGATAATTACACAAAGAGGCAGGCGATTTGCAGAGGCTCTGTGCTGAAGGAAAAGTGAGGGCTGCTCGGGGAATGTGTGCAGCCAGGGGGACCGGCCTCGTCCCTGGGGGCCCCAGAGACTTTCTGAGCAGGTAACTATCAGGTATGCCCTGGGAGATGAATGGATGGAGGTGGCGGAAGCCCTCATGGACCAGTGCTGAAGGCAGTGAGAGAAGCATGGGCGAGAAGGTCCCGGATGCCGAAGCTCTCCAGGGCAGGGCAGGGCAGTGAGTGAACAGGGGGTGTAAGCGGGGGAAGACAGGAGTTTGGTTTTTACGTGGAGCGTGCAGGGAACTCCGGGTGGGGAGGTGTGGACGAGGCCCAGAGAGGAAGCAGGAGACAAAGACAGACGCGAAGCCACCCTGGGCTGATCCTTAAGTCCCTTTGAAGCCCTCTTCTCTCCAACGCTGGCTGTTTGCTGGAGGGCTGGGCAGCGAGCCTGTGTGTCCAGAAGGTGGCAGACAGCTGCTGAGAATAGAGCCCTGCCGGGGAGGAAGGCAGGGGGGGAGGAGGGAGTGAGGGCGGTTTCTCCGCTTGGCTTGGCCCAGGTGGGCTGGGGTAGACTCTGGGTGGGTGTGAGGTTGGTACCCGCCAGGGGAGAAGAAATACAAACAGAACTTTGTACCAGGAAACTTTTATCTTCAAACAGAGGTGTTGGAGAGATTGAGCTGTGCTTTGCTGTGGTGCTGAAGGCTGTTTGCTGTCCTGAGGTTCCAGAAAACAAAGATAGATTGTGAGAGACAGTCAGTTCTAATATAGGAGTATTACAATGGTAAATAATAATGATAGTAGCTATCTACTCTTGCGTATTTACTGTAAACCCCATTGCTACCTTTCGTCTCCTGGACATTTTAAGATATTTTTTAAAGTTTATTTTCTACTCGAAAGACACACACACACACACACACACACACAGAGAGGATGAGAATCTTTGATCTGCTGGTTCATTCCTCAAATGCTTGTAACAGCCAGGGCTGGACCAGGCTGAAGCAGGGATCCAGGAACTTCGTCTGGGTCTCCCACATGGGTGGTAGGGGCCCAGGCACTTGAGTGGTCCTCTGCAGGCAGGTGGATCAGAAGCAGAGTAGGTGGATCAGAAGCAGAGTAGCTGGGACCTGAACCAGCACTTAAGAGGTGGCTGGCCCGCTGTACTGCAACGCCTGCCCACTCCTTGACATCTTGAAGCCTCCACAGCTTCTAGATTTTTTTTAAAGATTTACTTATTTATTTATTTGAAAGTCAGAGTTACAGAGAGAGAAGGAGAGGCAGAGAGAGAGAGGTCTTCCATCCGCTGGTTCACTCCCCACCCCACATGGCCGCAAC